ATGAGATAGAGAACGTAAGATGGATAATGGAGATGACAAGATAATTTAATGAAGAAATTTCCTTTATTGACCACAGCAGAGCTACTGTATAGCTCTCATCAGAATATAGCACACTAAGGTCAATAGATATAGCAGAACACATTATTGTTCCTCTGACTAACCTTTACAATGAACAAGAAGCTACATTCATTTGAAATAAAAAAAGCAGTTAGGATTAAGCCACAAATAAAGATTCAGCTTCTTATGAAAGTAAAAATGGAAAGCAAAAAATCTGGGTTAATGTTAAATATTAAAATATTGGAAAAGGTTCCTAGGAGGCGCATGAACTACAAGAAGAACCAATCAACTGGTCCTGGAAGAAAAAAAATAATGATCGGTATCTAGAGATTAAGAAGCTGAAATTGAAAAGGAAATAGGAAATAGGAGGATATGATGGCTTAGAAAAAGAAATAACTATGTTTGGCAAATTGGAGGATATATGAGAACCAGTTTAGTGTAGTGGTGAAGGTGTAACTTTTAGTCATGCCTTAGGCATGAAAACCGGCTGGATGATTTTGGGGCAGTCATTCTCCCTCAGCTCCATTTGTCTCAGAGAGTTGTGGGGAAAATAGAAGGAGGAAGGAGTATTAGCTATATTTTGCCATCCTGAGTTATTTATGAAAATAAGGCAGGAAATGAATGAATGAATGAATGAATGAATGAATGAATGAATGAATGAATGACAAGACAATGGATGGACAGTATTCATGGAAGAGCTGCTGATTGTCACCAGAAATAGATTGAGCTAACGGACATTTGTCCATGCAAATAGTGGGAGCTAAACCCTGTTCTTAGATCTGAACTAATACTTAAAATGTGGAGAAAATTTTTAATCTTTTGTGTTCTTTTTTGAGAGATTTTACTCTAAACATCAGAATTTACTCAAACCTTTGTTATGTTTCTATGCTTTTTTTGTGTTCACCAACAGAGTAGTTCAAATAAAAACAGAGGAGAAAACAATCACAACTAGCTCAATTTCAAGAATGTACAGCTTTATTACCATCTGCCATATGACAGCTATGCTCTGCACCAGCTGTTTTGTCGAAAGCCAAATGGCCCTGAAACACCTCTATAATGTCAAGTAATGGAAAAATATAACTCATTGCAGTCCACAAATTCTATTGTTTATACACTCACTAAGTAGATGAACGGGATGAAAATGCCAATCAGACTTTAAAGAAGGAAGCCAGAGAGAGCTCAGTTTGGCATCCTACCTTCCCAAAAGATGTCTGGTGCAGGCAAAGTTGACAATATCAACTGTGTACTCATAGGTATGCATGTAGCTGTGTACTACTAAGTGTGTAGTAATAGGTGTGCATGTAGCACTACATGCAATGGGGCTTAAGAAAGATATCTAGCATCTAAGATTGAAAACAACCTGATTAGGAGTCTCAGTCCCAATGATTTTCAAATTATGTTAACTGGAATCCTAGGGTTCCATAAGAAATTTGTAAGGTTCCCCATTTTTTTAAAAAAAACAAACCATTACATAATTACTAATTTGCTTTGCATCTTGATCAGGTGTTCCATGACTCTTTTTTTAAAAAACTAACATATTCTGAGCTTGAAAGGGTTTGGAAACCCCTGACCTAACCCTAAGTTGAAGCCCAATACTAAATAATGCATATGGAGGAGTCCTTAAAACAATGGAACAATAGTTTAATATTCCAACAATTGTTACAAATTGTTAATTTATGGATATTTATTGCCTGCACTATTTCTAGCAGCCAGATTTAAACAGCAGCTACTACTACTACTACTAAATGTCAGCTGGTACTAAAACCCCAGAAAAAAATCAATAATGTCAAATAATGTCAAATGTCTGTCAGTTGTGTAGCTGGATTTTTGTCAAATGTGCCCCCTCCCTCAAAAAGTCTATTTATATTGATTCTTTAAGTTTGGAAGGTATTGAAGCAGATAGGAGGTAATTAAAAGCATAAATCTCAAAAAGCCTGTGAAGGTAATTCTCTGCTTTACAAGCAGAGCTGACAAAATGATGAACGCTTCAGTTCCAACATGACAGAAATATTACATGATTACAGGCTGCAGGGGCATAATGTGCTGAAAGTTATCTTCAAAACCAGCTATTTAACAAAGCCTTTAACAAAGTTTTTCGTTTTCCATTTGAAACAGTTAACCTATTGCAACATTCATCTGGCTATGCTTCCTGTGTTCACCTTATTTTCACTAATAATCTGTTTCACGTTAATTAGTTAATGCAAGGGGCAATAAATGCAAGAGGCAGTAAAAACTGGGGTGGAGAGAAGATGGTGGGCAGCGCTGGTCTTCCCTCCACACCCTCCAGGCAAAGATAGTTGATGGTTCTTTCTGCACTCTGTTTTTAGTATCTCCAACCAAGTGGGCATCAGAGAACAATCAGCGGAAAAAAATAGACTCCATATGACTCAGAATTCTTTCTTCTTCTCTTTCCATTCTCTGATCTATGTTAACATTTGTACCGATTCAATTGTGGGCATACCTGTCTACATATTAATTAATGCTTCATTCTTGAGCATTAGCAATCAGCTTTCCCTTCTATATACAAATTGCATCTCTTGGGCACCGTCCACAGGTCAACACACTTCTGCACAAATCCCACGTATCTGGCTGTGAATTAATAAAAAAAATTGTCTTTGTCTCCTTCTTTACAAAAATAAAATAACATTATGGCATCCCACCCCCACCCCACTCTATTCCCCACTGCTCTGAGACTGCATGTCTAATGTGAATACAAATAAAATGGGTGGAAATAATATGATGAGGGTCAAAAGGGTGTAGAGAAACCAGAACTGAGAGCTATTATGTCTGCGAATTGATTAAAGTTTTTTATCTTCTACTTGGAAAACTATCAAAAAACCTCTGCCCCAGCCTTAGCCCCCAGAGAGACACAGTCAGATTCAGAAGCCCACCAGTCAGTTGAAAAACAAAAAAAACCTGCTGGCCTGACTGATCTGTGGAAACGACAGGATGGGGTTGCACGCAGCAACCTTGAGGGATTGGATAAAGTTCAGTTCTCTGTAATATGGGAGAATATGCCTGCCCTCTCAAAAAACCCACACAGGTAGAATGGCTGTCACAAGCTCCCCCTTAAGAGAGACAAACAGAATTAAATTACTGCTGATGCTCACATATTGCAGTCTGCTTTGATGACTTCCCAAATTTGGGTTTGCGTTGTAAAAAGAGCCATACTGAAAATGCACTAAATTAGAGCAGCCGCTGCCTCAGAACTCTTTTCATCTGAGGCGTCATATAGAGGTGATTGTTTTCCAGAATGTAGGTGTTACTTGATAGGCCCATAAGAAGCCATTTAGCAAAATCTCCACTTTGTTTGAAATTTGACCACAAGGGACATATCTCATAACTGCGGGGAAAGTAGGAAACATTAGAAAAGGCCAAGTATTTTTCCAGGCTGTAGTTAAGACAGTTTAAATAAGGGCCTCTTTGTTCATTATTCAAATTTCATATTTTCTTAATTTCTGTACATTTCATCCAGGTTTTTGTTTTTTAAGCCCAGGGCTTTTTTTTCTCCTCCCTATCATTTTCTTGGTGGAAGTAAACTTCAGGGGCACTTGTAGGTCTTTGCACTTTACCCATTTTCTAGTCAGTTTAATAACTGGACCTATCAAGAGAACTCAATCTGCTATTTTTCCATAAATCAATTTCAGCTGTTAATAACTAATAGGTGGAGGATGCGCTGGGAAATATATATGGTGGCATAATGTTGCATAAAGAATTCAGAAGGGATGTTTTGCAAAGTGTGCTGGCAGAAGCTAAGTACGCTTATCGAAATATTAAAGTAGGCATGGGCTTCATATAGCTGCTTTGAAGGCTCCTCCTGCTGTTTATATGCATGTACATGCACAAGCAGGGGCACTAGCAAAAAAGGAGATGCTCTTTGAATGAGTTCAAATAGCCTCAAATCCATTTCAGGTTTGGGGTTCAGACAAGTTGATTCACAACTGCAGGAAAAACAAAATACACTGACATAATACACTGAAAGGGAATCCAGTTTTTGTACTCAAACAAAACAAATACACGAATTAATATCAGTTATGTTTGTAATGTTAAACATTTAAATAATGTTGGCATACATAAAAAGATACATCCAATAATACATAATATTAAATACATCTAATAATATAAAAAAGCCACTCACAACAGGCACCATATAAATGCCACATATAGAACAGCACACACTCTGCTAGAGAGAAGTTCCCTGAAGATGGGCTCCAGGCCAAAAGCTCAGAAGACAAAACCTCTGGTCTCAGTGACCAACCCAGATTGGATCCTACAACATAAGTACACAACTACCAAATTGCGTGCAGAATAACATTTAACATTTTTGACATACGTCCTCAAAATATAGTCCTGCAAATACTGTACTCAGTTAATACTTATGTTGCCCCCAGAAATCTTTATTTTATTTTCTTCACATATAGAGTAGATGCAAGAAATCTATCATGCTTCACTGATTCAGTTGGATTTTCAACCATCCCTGACTATTAGACATGGGGGCTGGAGTTGATAGGTCCTAAGTGCCAATTATAAGAAATAATTTTGGAGAATACCCTTTCTGCTAGTACAGAAGTTTGAAGTTCTTTTAAATAAAATATTGCTAAATTGTTGCAATAGTTCTGTTATTTATTTATCAAATTTATATATACACGGTATTGCCATTACTTTGAAAGTTTTGAATCCAATGATCAGGATATCAATATTTGTAGATAACAAAATTATTTAATTATATCTTCTAAAACCTTGAACAAAAAAGCCCAGTTCAAATTGTCAAAGGCCTTCTCTGCATCTATGAAGATCAAAGCAACTTGCTTTATATTGCTCCAAATATTCCAAAATGTCCAACACATTTGTAACATTATACTTTACCTAAGTTAAGGGGGAAAACCACACATTGATTCTCATGAATAAATTCTTGCGAGATTATTTTCAATCTGTCAGCTAGAATCATTGTGAACAACATGTAGTCATTATTCAATAATAACATCAGCCAATAGTTTAAAGCCAAATCTTCTCCTTGCTATATTGTCCTCTTTCAAATTCTCTGGCATTTTTCTTCCCTGTGGAAGACAACAAAATTATTCCAAATCTACTCAGATCTAGCCAGTAGTTTAGATTAACTGATTGATTACATAATCTATTAAAGGCCTATTCATTTAATCCAAAAATGAAACTGATTAATCTTTTTCAAATCTGTCCCTAATAGTTGCAGATTGTTGTGTTTCATACGTTTACATTACATTTTTATAGTTAGCCAAAACAAGAAATCATCTATAACAATGACCCAATCAGCAATACTTTCTGAATACAGTTTTTTCATTTAGATCAACCTCAGCTTTAAATAAAATTTTACAGTTGAGAGGTTTTCATTTTTTCCATATGAACCAGTTTAAAAAGAAATAGCTATTGTTTATTAAGAGCAAATCTAAAATATTTATAACTATGAAAATAGATTACTTTCTGTACATAATTTCATGCTTTGATTTGGGGGTTTTTTTTTCAGTTGCAAATGTGTGTTGTTTCTTTTCTCAGCCTTGGAGTGAAGCTAAAAGGGCAGATTAATCAAAGGGAAAATGGGCAGATATTTTGTGTTGTGCATATTTCAAGAGTAGTGGGTGGGAATTGGCTAATTTGCATGTCATTATTGAGTCTAGTCACAGCTGAGGAAGGCAAGCACCAGGCTGTATACATAATAGTATTTGTTAAGGTTCCATCATTGAATAGTGGAAATAGATTTCAGAGCAATGTATTACTAAAAGCACTGTAACTCTTAAGTCTATATCACTATTTCTGAATCAGCTGTAAGTAAAACATTTGCTGTGTGTCGTTTTATTGTGCAATGAAGGAAAGGAAATGGTGGTTTGGTGAAAAAAAATAACAAGTTGCACTAGGATACAAAGAAACATCTCAAAGTGAGAATCAAGAAAAGGTAACTTATGTCTATTTTTCATATTGTTATTTATGCGGGCCATTGTAATTTTTTTCAGTGATCAAAATTTTATGCAGCAGTTTTCTGCATAACAAATGATTGTTTGACAGGATTTGTTGATGGATGGGATATGAGAAGAAGATACCTAGTGCATTTTAAAAAAAGGTGCGAAGTTATTAAAATTATTTATATTTGTCTTGAAGGGTAAAGGCACTTCTTTATATATTTCTTTTCTTTACGATATTCTTAATATTTTTTTCTCTTTCTCTTTTTTTGTCTTTTCTATGCCTTCTATTTCTTTCTTTTTTCTTTTTAGTCTGTATTAGTTTTTACTTTATAATTATAATCCGAAGTGGTACCTATTAATCTACTTGCACTTGCATGCTTTCAAACTGCAAGGTGGGTAGAAGCTGGGGCAAGTAATAGAAGCTCACGCGTTGCAAGGAGCTGGGGCCTTGAACCTGCGCTGACAAGCTCAGTGTCTTTAACTTCTGAGCCATCATGCCTGAACCAATCTGTACATATAGGTAATCCAACTAACTTGTTTGGTAACCATTTGCAATTATGACAGTGATGAAAAAGTAACTTTGTGACCAGTCCTTGCATTTACAATCTTTACAGGTTTATAAAGCAAAGGAAAGCTGAAGTAAGATTATATACTCAGTTGCAGTTTCACTTAATGACTCCTTAGCTCAAAGACTGAGTTGCCAGTCCTAATTGTGGTCACTAAATGAGGACTATCTGTAAAAGAAACAGTAGTTTATTTCAGGAAGCCAATAAAAAATAACTAAAAATCATATGATCTGAGAATAATAGTAGTTAAGCTCTTTATGCGCCATTGAAAATCATTTTAAATAATTTTTGTCAATTAAAAAAATGCCTTTACATTTTCAAAATTTAGAGATGAACTAGTTGCTTATATACTTGCAGTAAAATATGCAAAATTAAGAAACTATGTTCATTTATAGAATACCCAATATATGATCATTGTAAATTTTCAGTAACCGCAAACATTATATGATTGCTTGGAGGAATAGAAAGAAAAATAGAGCATATAATTAAAGTTGCAGCATCCCAGGATCACATGATCACCATTTGCAATCTTCCCAGTGGCTTCTGACAAGCAGAGTCAATGTGGGAAACTGGATTTGCTTAATAAATTTGAGCACCACTTACTTAACGATCTCATAACTTAGTGGCAGACATTTGGTCCAGTTGTGGTCATAAGTCAAGGACTATCTGTACAGAAGGATTACAAAAAGGGAGGGAGGGATAAAAGAGAAGGTAATATTTGAATTTACTAGTCACTATGCGGGACCATAATCATAATGGCTAAGAAACAGTACTACTTATATAGTAGATAGTATGTAGATAGTAATATGCAATTTTCAACAATAATGAATCCATAAGATGGTCGGGCTTTGATTGATCTCTATATTCCATTTTCTAAAAATTTCTGTGAGTTTTTAATGCTTTGAAAATATGACTGGTGATAGTTTCCATTTTCAAGATAATAATATAGATTTTCTTATCTTTTTTAAAAAAAAATTAGCACTGAAGTGTCTATCAGTTGGATGTCTAGAACAATTTATGCACATACTTATCTCGGAAAGAACCAAAATAAAATTAATAGAATTGTTTATAAGTAATCATGGATAGTATTGTACTACGTCTTTATGTAAATGAGGTTATAATTAGCTTTAAATTTGTTTGGGCTTGAGTCCTTTGAACAGATTTCACATAAAATAAATGAGGATTGAATGAAGTGAAGCAAAGCCAGCCGTAGTTTAAGATTAATATTGCACTCATCGCAACTATTAGTAGAAAGGCTTTTTACATGAACTCTACATGGAGTAACCCTTTGTCTCAGGTTCACCTCTGCTTATCATGTTGTAGTTTCTTATTCTGCCCTCGGATCTTTTTAGTAGAGCAGGCTATTCTGTGAATGAAGTTACAATGAAAACACTGAAAGAGGCGTGGTTTACACTACCCATCCATATGCTCTAAACTTAATGAGTAGCTGCGCTCAGAGAATCTCAACGCTTAATTTTCGAAGAGCCACATCTCCTGAAGTTGCATCATCTTTGGAGATAGGATTGTGGAAATAAGGAACCCCTCAAAATAAATGTGAATGCAAAAAAAAAGAGTCTGGATTAAAAAATATTCCAAATGGAGAATGTGTTCTACAGTTACATTGCTTTGTTCATAGAAGTTTACAAGGGGTTCAGAAGTTTCCTTCGCAGCCCTCCTGTCTTAACCTACCACTTCTTCAATCATTTTTTTTTTCTCCAGAAGTAAAACATAGCATAATCCATTCAGCCATCTTTTGATTAATGGTGTTAGACCTCTCCATTTGGGAAGACCACAGACACGGAATCACTGGGTAATGAACAGAAGAATAGTCTCTATATGGGTATAAGCAGACATGGCTTCAAATTCATACAGTATGAATTTGACACTGTTGACATTGTTGCAGTTGACCCTACATTATGAGGTGAGGTCTCAGCTTCAAGGGCAGGATTTTGTGCAAGCAGATCTGGTTTAATGGAAAGTGACCAAGGCCACTATTGACTGATTAGTGGAGAGTTCAGATTGCTTCCCATGTGGCTCTGAAGCTACCTTTAATAATGCTATATTGCTCTACTCTCTCCTTATAGGTAATGAATGAACCAGGAGAACTCCAATTTATTTCATATGAGTTGTCCTTGACATTTGAAAAGGAAGTAATAGAAAAATATTTTGTTAAAAGAGGCACTTGGGGACTTTTTGCTTTCTGCTGTCATTTTTGTAAAATTCTTGAGAGAAAATTGTTTTAGAGCGGTCTACCCGCATCTCCTCTCTTCCTTTACTGATATATCTATTGACACAGTCGGTTTACATATGCTATTCACAGAGCACATAGTCCTTTTTTTTACTTTAGAAAGCTAAAAGCAATAACAGTGCCTAGAAATGTGATGGCAGGAATAGAAAAAAATAGCTGGGCCTGAGGGACAAGTTAGAAGAGCTTCCAGACAAATGGTTCCTATAGCTACCACTCAAAGGATGTGCAGCGACTCTGTTTTCTCCTTAATAGAAATAAAACAATGAAAAACATGTTAGAGAAATGTGGAATTGATTCCAATGGAAGACAGAGTTGTCTGAGTGAATTGCCTTATGTAATTTAATGAACAATGCAGGATGGTTGCATAATAAAAGTAGCGTCTGAAAGCATCTTAAGTGTAATGTTTATTATACAATTCAGGATTTCATAGCTATTCTTGGTCAACAAATAGTTAGCTTGCTATCGCAGTGATAGACAAGTTTACTACTGCTCTTACATGTCCACTGCTTCTTGAACAACAGAAAATTGTATATAACTTTATAATAATTATAATTGCAAGTGCATTATATAATACATAAGTACTGTGTATAATACTCTAGCACACTTTCATTTATTAAATAATTCTTCCTCTGTATGGCAACTGAAAGAAAAAAAAACATCATACCTATCTTTAAAGTATGACCAGACTTTGGTGGCACACACATAGAAAGAAATACAATACACAAGATGTTTGTTGTGTCATGCAATCTGCCACTAAGAATAATGCCATGGCTGACATGCATTAGGAATACAGCCTCTTGACTGCTTGTGTTAAATTGAAAGCCAGCTTTCAAGCATGAAAGCTTTTCTCAGCACCTCTGCTAGACTCCAAACTCTTCAGGGTGCTGTTAACACTATGTTGCTATAGAAAGGGTGACTGAATTAGTTTGAGTGCAAGTAGGTGCTACAGAACAGCCACTCTGGGACCGCACGTAATAAGGCAACCTGACCACCTGGGTGTAAGTCAAACAGATGGAATGAAAAGGAAAATGCACATACTGCATACATCTGTGCTCAGTAACAATCCTTGTGACATGTAAATAACTTATCTTCAGAATCAAGTAAAACATTAAGATTCAGCAGTTAGATTAAGAAGCAAATAACACCAAACACATTTTCTGTTCTAAAAAAAAAGAAAACACTGTATTTCTATAGGGCCAATCAGTGGTGGGTTGCCCCCAGTTCGCACCGGTTCTATAGAACCGGTAGTAAAACTGGCGGGAGGCCCTGCCCACTGACCCTGACATCATGAAAATCCTTCTGCACATGCGCAGAAGCTTCTGCACTTGCGCGCGGCCCCATTGCAAACCACTAGTAAAGGTAAATAGAACCCACTTCTGGGGCCAATCATGTTCTCTATTTAAAACTGCACAGAAAATAAAGTTAAAATTATATGTGTACATGCAAACACATAATAATCTATCACCAAAATATGGACCACAATAAAGATTATTAAAACTATTACAAGGTTTTCAATTTTATTAGTATCATACAAAGAAGGAGGGAAACTGTTTAATCAATTGGAATTTATGAACTAGTAATACTAAACTTGTTTATCCAAAAAGAAATTCCTCTGATTTCAGTAAGGCTGACTTTCTAGCAAGCAAATATTATAAAGGCTCTTTAATAAGAATCGTTTGCCAAAACCATATTTGAAGTATATAGTACTTAAAGTGCTAGTAGACTATCTATATGTAATGTAGATTTTACTCAATGTTGTGTAATAATACCTGCTGGATTGTTTATGTAATAAAAAAAGAGGCTTTATGCCTCCATGTTTTAAAAAAAGTAAAATATAAGTAATATCAGAAGCAAATGTAATTTTGCACATAGGACTGGATTCCTATCTTTAAGTAAAATAAAAACTGAACTGTATAGGACTAGTAATAGACACAGACCATCATAAACAAGCAAGTATGCTTTCAGAAAGTCTGGTACAAATAAGTAGGCTATAATCTTATGCAAACTTATAGTGGTTTCAATAGAAATGTATTCTAATTGGAAGTAAAATTGGGCCCTTTATAGTCAGATAAATATCTAATTTCCAAATCTAATTTCATTTAACTTCCTGCGATGGGTTAAAACTATAGTAGAGTATAAGTCAAAAACTAATAAGGAGGTAGATCCTTTTGTTGTAATCCATGAAAATACATGTACCTCAAAAAGATCTCAGTTAAAGTCAGAAAAGTGTCTTGTGAAATCCTGGAACAATATTAACAATGAAGCACTACTAACTTTTCTTAGGCAAAAGAATGTAGTGCCTCTTATTGGAAGATGTATAACTTTTCTTTTTCCACCTTCTCATCTGTGAGTGATATCAAGTATGAATGTTGAGCCTGATTTGTTCTCCTTTGTAGAGCCAGGCTGAGGCCCACTACAAAGGAAGTAAACATGCCAAGAAGGTCAAAGCACTAGAAGCAACGAAAACTAGACCAAAAGCAAGTGTTTCCAAGAACAGCGCAATGGCTAACATGAACGGCTCTGCCACGCCGGTCCCGGCCAACATCTCTAACAAATCAGGTCAATGAAATTTTCATTCTATACATTCTTTGCTTCTCCTTCTTGATTTATGTGAGATTTTTGTCTAGATGCTCTCTGTCTATTTCAGTGCCAATATTTGTAATAAAACTGTATAAGGCTCTCCTTTCTGAAAGAGAAAGTGATTGTTAAAACTGGTGGGTCCGATTCCCTATGAAACTTCACTTGGTCTTCCTGTTTCCCCACTAAATATCTATTAAACTTTTAGTCATTGACCAGTGATTGGCAAATACTGATAGCAGATCTAATAGAGAGATGCTGATAGAGTGATTCAGCTATCTGTGTTAAAAGTTGCCTCCAGTGGTAGCTCTCAAATGGATAAAGAGAGATGATATATTATTGTATTTTCCACTAGCCATCAATGTGATGCTGTTTGCTTTTAAATGGCCCCAAGCACATTCTCTTTCCTACATATAAATATCAGTTGTTTTATTATGCCATTGGTAGTTAATACATACTTATGCCTCATCTTGGGCTAATTATTAAAAATAGCATAGTTTAATTTATATAGGCAAAGGTGAATAGGATCCATTTTTCCCCAAGGTGGGAATGAATGCAACCTGAATCACATTACCCATTGCAATATTTCACAGATATCTTATTGCAGAGTCTTAATATAATATCAGAGATCAAACCTGTTGTCTCCAATCTATCAATATTGGCACTCAACAAGGGCTACTTACAAAACTCCCATGAGTAGGATATGTTAACCTTCATCTTTCTTGCTACTTTTAGGCTCCACTATTGTCAAAAACTAAAGGATCTCCCCCTTCCTCATAATCTGTTAGTTGAAAGAGTGGGTATAATTGAGCTTCCCCATAGTTGGCAAGCAGAATCAAAGTTAAGAAGTCTAGTAAAAAGACTGTGGGGAAGCTATGAACAATTCTGATCTCTAAATCCAGTGATCAGTTGTGCCAGCAGTCATAGCTATATGTGTGCAGCTGAGAAATGTACAAAAACTCTTAATTTTCACAGAGACATGCTTTTGCTAGCTTAGTGTTCCAAGGGGGCTAAAATAATGAATTAGAGGGCAGAAAAGTGTTTTTGTATGAGCATGTTCCTGGGGCTCTCTGGGGAGGGTTGAATCACAATAATAAATCTGGAATTTCTAGGTAATAGCATTTAGTTTACTATTTCTTCTCTACTTTAAGAAGCCCATATTTCTTGTATTTCACTTGATAATTAGTGGAATGGTCTTTCCGTGTAATCTTATAATCCACGGTAAAGTTCAAGCATCATCCACAATATTACAGTTCTTTGTAAATCTAACCATGGAAATATAATTGGTTCCACACCGGAGGAGGGAGGAGAAAATGCAATAGATTTTAAATTTATTCTGATCTTTCCCTTAGTAAATTTATAAATATAATCCAAAGCAGGGGTGTCAAACTCGATTTCATTGAGGGCCGCATCAGGGTTGTGTTTGACCTCGGGGGCTGGGCTGGGCGTGGCCAAGGTGGGCATGGCCAGCTCGACATCACTCATGTTGGGGACTCCTGTGGTGGCCTGAGTGCTCTGCCAGTGAAAACGGGCTCCCGAACTCAATTTTTGGCTGCAACAGTCTCCTGCAACCCTCTGCTAGCAAAAACGGAGCTCGGGAGGGCCGCTCATGGTCCTCACATACTCCATTTTCTCTGGCAGAGGCACCACAGGCCGGTCCTTTGCTGTTTCCAGGGCAGCCCCACGGGCCAGATCTAAGCACCCCACGGGCCAGATCCAGCCCCCGGGCTTGAGTTTGACACCCCTATTCTAAAGGAAGCATGAAGCAAGTTAGAGATTGTGTTATAGATATAACTGGTATATCAGGATCACCAATTGAATCACAAATAACCTGAACTGGATTACATCACCATGGATTAAATGAGTAAAAAATGTTTTTTTTTCTTAAATTGAGGCAGACTCATAATACAGGTAGTCCTCGACTTACAACAATTCATTTAGTGACCATTTGAAGTTACAATGGCACTGAAAAAGTGACTTATGACTATTTTTCACATTGACCATTGCAGCATCCCCATGGTCACATGATTTACATTCAGATGCTTGACAACTGATTCACATTTATGACAGTTGCAGTGTCCTGAGGTCATGTGCTCACCTTTTGCTACTGCCTGTCAAGCAAAGTCAATAGGGAAGCCAGTTTCACTTAACACTGGTGTTACTAATCTAACAATTGCAGTGATTCACTTAACAAACGTAGCAAGAAAAGTCGTAAAATGGGGCAAAATTCACTTAACGAATTTCTCACTCAGCAACATACATTTTGGGCTCATTGCAGCTGTCTGCAATTAAAGTAAGTTCGAATCTTGCCAGGCTCAAGGTTGACTCAGCCTTCCATCCTTTCTAAGGTAGGTAAATTGAGGACCCAGTTTGTGGGGGCAATAAGCTGACTTTGTATAAAATATACAAAAGTATGAAGGCTATTGCTTAACGCACTGTAAGCCGCCCTGAGTCTCCGGAGAAGGGCTGCATATAAATCAAATTAAAAAAAAATAAAAAATTTTGATCGTACGTTGAGGACTACCTGTAACATTTGGTCTCTTCTTTGCAGGAATTGAAGGCTATTATCATACATCAGGAATTACGAAGATAGGTTTTAAGAGCCTGAGGCAGTGGTGGGATTCTGCCGGTTCTAGGAGGTTCTGCCGAACCGTTTGTTAAATTGCTGGCTCGCCCCGCCCCTTGCCCCACCCCTCCGCACCACTATTTATTGCCAATAAATAGTGTTGGGCAAGGGGCAGGCGAGCCAGCAATTTAACAAACGGTTCGGTGTTTTTTGTAATTTTATTGGCCCGTGGAGCTTCAGCATAGGCTAATTAGCCCTTGATTAGATCGGCTCCCGACTCTCAGCTGATTTGCTCTCAGCTGTTTTGCCCAGGGCTTTGCTGCTTGCTGGAGCAGGGTTTTTTTTCCACTAGCTATGCTGAAAAACAAAACTGAAAGTAAAGCAGGCTGTTGGCTTTGCTGTTGCTGCAACATTGGAAAATTAGGCAGGTAGATTTCTTTTCTTTTTCCTCATCAAAAAAGGTAGGTGCAAACAATGGGAAATTTAGAGAAAAAGAGGAGAGTTCAAGATTTTAAAACACAAAAGAAAAAAAGCTCTATTTAACTAGGGAAATGTAATAATTGAGATACTATTAATTGTATATTGTGTTGAAAGCAGAAATGGTTAAGTTGTGGTTTGGAGGAATATATGGGGGAAATTATTTGGTTTATTATTATTGGTAAATATAATTAATTGATTTGTAAGAAATTGGATTGCATGGAAATAATTGGAATATTCATGTTCATATTGATTAATATACAAAAAAGATAGTTATATAACGAATTGATTTATATTAAAATGTTGAATTTATATTAAACAACTGTAATATTACATATTAACCAATGTGAAGATGGTTATAAAAATAGATGACAATGGGAAGGGATATAATATAGAATAGAAGGGAAAAATTGAATTTGATTAAGATTAGAGATGAGGATGAAGGGTAATATTGTTTTTTTACAAAAATAGATGAGGAATAAATATGGCAAAAAGGAAATATAGAAATTGTAAATTTAATTGAAATGACTAAACACTGTTTAAATGTGTGAACCGGCCAAATACTCTGTTCAAAGAAAATACATTGTATGTTTGTATGTGTGTTTCTAATTATTGTTATTTATTCATATTTGTTCTCTTTTATTCTTTAAAGTTTAACAATTCATTCTTTATCTTAATATCTTTATATTTGTTTGTGGTTGGCTTTCTTCCCTTTCATCTTTTTTATTGTACAGCAATCTTTCTCCTCAAACCTACCACCTCTCTCTTTTCTTTCCTTCTTACTTTCTCTTCCTCCCCCTCTTCTTCTCCTCCCTACTTCCTCTTCCTTTCTCCTTCTCCTCCTCTCTTCCTCCCTCTCTTACCCTCACTCCTACTCTAATTTCCCTTCCCTTCCTTCATCCCTCTCTATTGCTGTATCCTTTTATGCATATGGACTACTCAAAGGGCTGAAAAAGTTATTTCTGACTGGTCCTCGCACTTTTGACCAGTCCTTGAACTTACGACTGTCCTCACATTTTACATTTTTGCCTTATCTTGTCACCATGATGAAGAGAAGCAGTTGTGAAATGAGTGACACGGTTGTTAAGAATGCCACAACAGGCATAAATGTGAGGATGGTCATAAGTACGAGGACCGATCAAAAGTGCGAGGACCAGTCAGAAATGACTTTTTTCAGCCCTCTGTAGTCCCTATGCAGATAGCCACGCCCACCGGTCACATGACCAGCTAGCCACATCCACCCAGTCACATGACCAGCTAGCCACGCCCACCCAGTCACACGACCACCAAGCCACACCCCCAACTAAGCCACGCCTACAGAACCGGTTGTTAAAAAAATTGAATCCCACCACTGGCCTGAGATCCATAAAATGGATGTGACCACAATCCATAGGTTGCCATAGGTTTCTTCTAAACTCTTCCTCTAAAGATATTTAGACCTTTCTTTTCTTTTATTTATTTTTTAATCTGAATGGCCTATTTTGGGGGTTAAACTGCAGTTTTCAATTTCAAAATGGAAGGATACTAAGTAGCCACTTTTCAATAATTGAAGAACTGAAGGTTGCAGGTAGTCCACTCCTTACAAATAGTTGCTTTATGTGTGTGTATGTGTGTGTGTGTGTGTGTACATAGATACACGCATACACCTATAAAATATAAACTTAATTTAGTTTACAAGAAGAGTTAATGATTATTACAAATTATTTCAGGCTTAGAGTCGTATACAAGTTATGGAAGCTGAGAATATCAAGCAGATAATTATAGCGGAGCTCATATCCATTTAATCACATTTCTATCTAACATCCATTGAATAAATCTAGAGAGACAGTAGGAAATTCTCCTAGTTGGTAAAAACTGCCAGGGCTAATCTGACACAAACAAAGACACCCTTCCCCATTCTACAGACATGAACTGGCTGGGTTGGCGAGTAAGCCTTCTTCCGTCAGTACTACTGATGAGGGCGCTTATTCAACCTTGTCTGAAAAGTAGAACCCAGTTTAGAGAACTCAGCCAGGTGTCTGCTGCACTGACTCCCCATAGTCACCTTTTTGAGATAACTGCAGGAATTATCACACTTGGGCTAAAGGTAGAGCCTGGCCCCATATATCTACCACTGTGATTTTACAAGCACAAGTCAATTACATTTACCTTTAGACAGAAAGATGATAGAAATGAAACTGTATTTTCACGGGTGGGACTGGAATATTACAAATAATACACTGTAATTTGAAGACAACTGTTAAGCAATAAAACCAGAATGAAAAAGTCTGGAGGTAACATATACAGTATTATATTAATGGTACAACTGAAATCATTTTGGCCATCTAAAGTTTTTTACTACCACTAGATATTATCTCTTGTGTATAGTAAAGTTGTATCTTTCCCCCCTCTGGGCTTTATTTCTAAATAGGCAAATAAAGGATAGTAATGAAAATAATGTGTCAGCAACAAAAATATGAGTATAAATGAGGAGAGAGAAGGAATAAGTTCGGTCTTTATCAGTACTGGATATAGAAAAAAAAATAAATAGAAATACCACACAAGTTGAACTGGAGAAATAAGAGAAGGTATTTTTTTTATAAAGAACAGAAATAGCTAAAGGATCATCAGAAAGGAAGAACTTCAATGAAATAATAGAACAGCTAAACAAAAATGTTGTTAGAGTTTATCAAGTTACCAGCTCTGAAAAAAATAAAGGATACTATCAAATTAAGCCTCTCATTAATTTATTTCCAAGCTGCTTAGCCTTGTTAAGAAAAATACAAGATGCCCCACTGTCCTATCGAAGGACCTGTCATGGTGGCTGATTTAATAGAATTATTGCTTATATATATATATATATATATATATATATATATATATATATATGTATGTATGTATGTATGTATGTATGTATGTATGTATGTATGTATTCACACCACGGTTAATTGCCAAAGAGTTTGGACATAAATAAGGAACTCAACACAAGGAGCGGGGAGGGAGTATAGGAAGACTTAAGAGGCCTAGCACAGGACACACGTGAGTTGAGAGAGGCCAAGGGAGGGTGCTGTAATAGTCAAAACTTTGGGGGCCAATCACATACCCATTTTTTCACTGGTGACTGACTGAATGGATGTAAGGCGAGGACTACCTGTTCATCGAACATAACTTCCTCCCCTTTCCCTTTCACATGAAATACAGATTAAAAAATAACAAGGCTCAAAAGAGATATAAATGTAAACATTTTATATTTTAATTTTATAATAAGCCTGCAAAATAGATTAGGTGATAATTGGTGACAAATCCAAAGCTTCCCAATATTCTTTATAGTTGTAGTAGGGGAACTTAAACCAGATTTATTTAGGAATTATATCCTGTCAGTGTGTCAGTTACTTTGTTTTCTGAATAAACTGTACATGTTCTGATTTATCCTAGAGCTTGTTTGTGAAGCTGAACTCAAGAATCCTTCATTTAATTTCTTTACAAGGTGCCTTGGAAAGGCATGATCAGAGTATGAAGGCAAAAGTCCATGCACATCTGAAGGGCAAAGTGATGTTTGATTAAAGTTTGTAGCAAACATGCTTATGAATTAATGAAATCTTTTCTTAGGAAACAAAAATTTGAAAACCTGTTGATATAAAGATAATGTATTCATAAGTTCAACTACTGTTTTTTATAAGGTAAATGTTTAAATAAAACTTTCAAGAGTAAAAAGAGACATCGGGCAGGAAAGGTTGATAGCAAGATTTGCCTCACTAAAATAAAACAACTTACAATTTGACCTCAATCTATACCTGTCCAAAGCACAAGTGGAGAGCCAGTTTGGTGCAGTCATTAAAGTACCAGACTAGAAACCAGGAGATTGGGAGTTCTAGTCCCACTTGTGGCATGAAACCAGCTGGGTGACATTGGGCAGTCACTCTCTCTCAACCCTAGGAAGGAGGCAAGGGCAAGCCACTTCCAAAAAAATTTGCCCCCAAAATTTCAGGGACTAATCAAAACAGTCCTTTAAAGGTAAAACTGACTTAAAGATGCAAAGAAAAGCACTAAGGACTACATGATGATGATAGTATATCAATACTAATACGTGAAATTGTCCTTATGTAATAGAGATCATAGATCCTCTCAGTATAAAATAATTTGAATTAAACATGCGAGCCTCTCAGATTCATGGATTATGAAATAAAATGAGTGCCTAAATATTCAGGTAGCATGAAGGTGAAATGTATTATTCACTTATTAAATATAAATGGGGTCCTTTGATTATATATTCTAAATCGAAACAAATACTCTTCGAAATAAAGGGACTGCAGATTTGAATCTCACATTTTTGTATTTTGCTTTGCAATATAGAGGATAAGAGAATGAGTGAATATATTTTGAATTACATAAAAGAGCTCTAGAGATGCATTTCAGAATACAAATGTAGAGTCTTTTGCTCCCTGTGAGCCACTCAGCATATGATTTATTCCCTCTGGTGTCAACAGGAGCTTAGTTGTGAAATTCCAGCATTTATTCCTAATTTTTCATTTCCCAAACTCTGTAGTATTTGTGACTTTTCCATAGTATTTGGGGTTTCACAATTCCTAAATATTTTCTTAGATTCTACTCCAAGATCATGTTAATTTTTTAAGAAAATGTATTTATTATTGAGATGTTTGGCAGTCCTTGCTTTAATAATTAAATTTAATAAGAGTTACACTTTATTTTTCCCCAATAAATAAAAATAAGAAAGATATGATAATCTGCAGCACATATGATATCGATCATGCATTTCCCAAACAAACTATACATCTGAATGTCTTAGATGGTTATATATAACACAGAGCACATTCTTCTAGCATACCAATTTTTATGCAGAAGTATATCTTGTATATTAGTCACATAATTTGTGAAGTAAGTTAAAAAGTCAATATAATTTCCCAATAGGAAGCAATATGTATTCTCCCATTTTCTCAAAAAAAGATCAAACCACCTAGTTTGGAGGAATTTTGGAAACCCAAACTATATTTTAGATTTACTTCTGGACATGGGTGAGCTTTTATACCCACAAATTAAAAATCCAACACTTTTTTCGTTGTATCACTTTCATTTACATTTTAAATATTTAACATAGAGTACAGGTATGGAATTTATCACCACAAAATGTGGTATCAGCTGCAGTGGTTGCACTCAGGTTTCTTCACACAGAGGCTAGTTAAATAAGGGACTTCATTGCACGAGGTAAAATGATTATATCTTTAAAGGATTTAGATTAGTTTTAAAAGCATAATTAGATAAATTTCTAAAGTTATCATCAAGGCTACTCCAATATCAAAAGCACTTTATCTCTCCCTATCTGTTTTAGGGAATAACATGTAGGAGAATACAACTGCTCTCCTGTTGTCAGGTTTCTCTCTCTAAGATGGAATAGAAACAGATAAATGGCCTTTCAATGAAACAAAATTTATCATAAGTAAATGCTTTGATCAAAAGCTACAAACCCATTAAGAAGGAATTTTAGTTACTGCAGTATAACAAACGCAAACCCCATTTATAGTGAAATCAAAGTTCAAATTCTTGTCTTGTCTCTCTTTCTCCCAACCTATATGACAGTGTTATTGAACCTTTTCGGCACTAAATGCCAAAATGGGAATGCGCGCATGTGCAAGGAGCACCAAAAAACGGAAGAGCAGCTCCCTGGCATGCATGCGTGGAAGTTCTGGAAACCAGAAGAGCAGTTCCCCGGCATGCACATGCACGCCAGGGAGCTGCTCTTCTGTTTCCGGTGCTCGCACGTGCGCAAAGACCAGCTGGCCTATGCGCATGTGTGCACCCAGGACCCAGAAGAGCAAAGGGCAACATCTGGCATGCCCAGAGAGATGGCTCTACATGCCACTTCCGGCACATGTGCCATAGGTTCGCTATCACGGCTATATGATATAATATGCTACAAGTTATTCTCTTTTGGGTGGTGACAACTCTTTGAAGTAGACCAAGAAATAAGCATGACAGGGATTTCACGAATGGTTTTTACTGTAATAAGGTAGAATAATAGCATCTTGAAAGCCTATCCAAGTTTCTCACTGCCCCATCTTATTTTGAACAAAATCATGGTAAATTTATTTGAAATTTCATTCTTGTATTCCTCTTTTTCTCTGGAGGGAACACCCTTTACTAGTTTACCGATATTTTAATTCAATGTTTCTCAACTTTGGTAACTTTAAGACGTGTGATTCCCAGAATTTCCCATCCAGATTGGATAACTTGGGCCGTAGTCCATTCTTCTCTCTTCATGCCCCCTCCCCATTCAAGCAATAACTAAAGCTCATCAAGCATTAATTAAATCTTTGGATAACCAGCAGAGTTAACTGCACTTCCAAATTGACCACTTAGGTCACCTTTTCTTAAGTATTTCTGAGGCTACCTTATGATAGCTTATTAGTAACCTTGACTATCACAAAGTATTGTATCTTTTTATTCTTGATGAATGTATTTTATTCTCCTTATGTACACTGAGAGCATATACACCAAAGACAAATTCCTTGTGTGTCCAATCACACTTGGCCAATAAAGAATTCCATTCTATGTTACTTTATTTCTTATAAGTAACATAGAATAGAATTCTTTATTGGCCAAGTGTGATTGGACACACAAGGAATTCAACCTCAGCTTGAACAGATGAGACTATCTTCTGGGGAATATCAATTAGAAAACGACACCCCCTTTTCTAGAGCTTTTATTTTTCCTTCCTGAAGACGCAGGCGTATGTATCTAACAGTCTAGTATATAAATATGAAACTTTCTAGGGCTAGGCAAAGAGATTAAAATTTTCCATTTTCAATTTAGTATATTTATTACAAAATTCAGCTACAGGAGTCAGAAATGCTCGGTTACATTTTTAAAAAAATTATCAAACTAAATGTACAGGTTAAGTTCCTAAAATTAAAAAACCTTAAGGTTTCACTATACTTACAGAATGATTTCTTTGGACTTTCCATACTCACTGCCAGTCTCATACTCGCTGTCAGTCAAAAGGCAAAGCAGATTCACCCAATAAGGAAGTGAGACTAATTATCAAGGAGGACAAATTAAATGACCAGTCAGACCCTTGAATGGCTTGAGTAGTTGTTCTTCCTGCAGCATTTAGTTTAAGGCTAAGTCAGAAGAAAACTGGTCTAAGATATAGATTTACATTGGGACATACTGTTGCCTAAGAAAATAATCTAGCAAGGAGGGAGAGGAGTTTAGATTCAGTCAAATATGAATTTTTGCATTAGTGTGCTGTAGTCAGATGATAAAATGATAGAAAAGGATGTAATTGGCCTCTCAGGCATTTTCAGATCAGATTATACTGTACTTTTCAAGATGCATATCTTGCCACACACAGTATTTTAGTATATGAGATCTAGTGACATGTCATCTAAAACCCTTCCACCCATTTGCTGATTAGATTTGCCAAGATTTTCAAGAAACAGTAGCATACAGCACAGAAAGTGGTAATGAACCTGCTATTTCTTCCTGTATTTATAAACTGCAGTCTTGAGGATCTTTTACAATCTTTTTAGTTTTCCTTTGAAATAAAAGGAAGTTCTGTTGACATTTCTACTAGAGCAGTAAATTAAAAAGGTTACTCTCTGCAACTTGGACTCTTTCATACTCATACTTTGTAATCTGCTGTCAATAGTATTAAAGAAAAATGCCAGCATGTTTGCAGAAGGGATACAGTTCAATGCAGATATTTTAAAATAGCTTGGCATTTTTGGGAGTTTTAGTGTGTATTGCAATAATTGTGACTTCTGTAGAGAACTAGAAATCAAACTAGAAAAAACAGAGCCTTATCCGCTGAATCAGTGTATGAAGGGAAAGTATTAATAAAATAGTCAAAGGTTTCAACAGCATAAGGAACAACAGATTTCCTGAAACCCTGCCTAGAGCTAAATATGGCTTTATTTGTTTAAGATTTCAATGTAAATAAACATTTTTTATTAAGAATTGGAAAACAGTTAAGATTTCCCCCTTTTTTCTTAGAACTTTGGGCAAAACTAAATTTATTATGCGAAGGAGTCTACTGCATACTTTAAAAAATAAAGTTCCGTTCATCTTTGAGTATTATGTAAGACCCTCTATAAATAATGTCCCATGGCCAGGCAACATTGGCTATGTTGTTGCTCAGATCCTTTGTCTAGTGCTGCAATGTTAGAATTTCCAATGTTTTCAGTTTTTCATCAGACGTTTTCCTGGGCTGATCCTTCATACAAGAGTAAAGGGTGTAAATACATAGTTCTGAGTAGACTTTATCTACAGATAATTTAGAATGCTATTATTTCTTTGTAAGTGTGTTAGTGTTAATGATAGTTGTAATTTATTTATTTATTTATTTTATTTAAATTTGTATACTGCCCTTCTCCTAGTGGACTCAGGGTGGTGCACAGCCAAGTAAAAAACATCCAATACAAAATTTAAAAGAATTATACCCTTTGGCCAAAAATTAAGAACCTTACGACTAAAACCCATTAAACAATTAAAAAATCTAATATCTCAAAAACGGGGGGGGGGTGTTCACGCCAGCCCTGCTTGATGGAAGAAAAAAGTTTTTAGGTCACGGCGAAAAGCCCGGAGATCTGATATCCTCCGTATCTCCGGGGGCAAATCGTTCCAGAGGGCAGGTGCTGCCACAGAGAAGGCCCTCCCCCTGGGGGTTGCCAGCTGACACTGCCTAGCTGACGGCACCCTGAGGAGTCCCTCTCTGTGGGAGCGTACTGGCCGGTGGGAGGCTATTGGCGGCAGAAGGCGGTCCCGCAAATACCTAGGTCCGATGCCATGGAGCGCTTTAAAGGTGGTAACCAATACCTTGAAGCGCACCCGGAAGTCCACCGGGAGCCAATGCAGCTCGCGCAGGAGAGGTGTCACATGGGAGCGCCCTCTCGCTCCCATAATCCCCCGCGCAGCCACATTCTGCACCAGCTGAAGCCTCCGGGTGCACCTCAAGGGGAGCCCCATGTAGAGAGCATTGCAGTAGTCCAGGCGGGAAATGATGAGTGCCTGAGTGACTGTCCGTAAGGAGTCCCGATCCAGAAAGGGACACAACTGGCGAATCAGGCGAACCTGATGAAAAGCCCCCCTGGCCACGGCCGTCATATGCTCTTCTAAAGACAGCCGTGCATCCAGGAGGACACCCAAGTTGTGAGCCCTCTCCGTGGGGGCCAATAACTCGCCCCCAATAGCCAGCGATGGCACCAGCTGGCTATATTGGGACGCCGGAAGCCACAGTCACTCGGTCTTGGAAGGGTGAGGCGAAGCCTGTTACTCCCCATCCAGATCCGCACGGCCTCCAAGCACCGGGACCTCACTTTAAGGGCATCGTTGGGATGACCTGGGGTGGAGATGTACAGCTGAGTATCGTCAGCGTACTGATGGAATTCCACCCCGAAGCCACGGATGATCTCGCCCAGCGGCTTCACATAAATGTTGAACAGAAGGGGTGAGAGGACCGATCCCTGCGGCACCCCACACACAAGGCGCCTTGGGGTCGACCTCTGCCCCCCTGCCAACACTGACTGCGTCCGGTCGGAGAGATAGGAGGAGAACCACCGTAGAACGGTGCCCCCCACTCCCAGCCCCTCCAACCGGCGCAGCATGATACCATGGTCAATGGTATCAAAAGCCGCTGAGAGATCTAATAGGACCAGGATAGAGGAGCAACCCCTATCCCGAGCCCTCCAATTTAAGTTTTGCTGTACCGTAATACAAGTAATATAGATTAGATGTGGTGACTACAGACTATAAAGTACGAATATGAAAGAGTAACCATTTTCATTTACTGCTGCAGTAGAATTACCAATCTGTTACATTTATAGCAGATATACCTGTAAGATCATTATCCCTGGCACCGTCATCAAGCTTAATTAATTGGATTCCACCACTGAGTGTATTTGCATATCATGCTAACATATGTTTGCTGTTAGCTAATAAGGTACACAAAATGGAAAATGTGTTTTGTTTTCATCCCAAAACTAAAACGTTTGGTAAACTCTGTAAATATTTCTATTCAGCAGGAACAAAACCCAGAACATTTTTAAAATATTTTATTCTTAAATAATAGAATATAAAAGATAATAAGAACAAATGAATTATTACTAGGTTAACCTAGTTATTTTTTACTAACCACAATTTACATATTTATTTATTTATTTATTTATTTATTTATTTATTTATTTATTTATTTATATTTGAATTTATATACCGCCCTTCTCTCCCTAGGGACTCAGGGCGGTGAACAGCCGAAATTAAAATACATACAATATAAAAGTTAAGATAGCTAAAATAAATTAAATCAATCAGCCCCCAATTTAAAACCCCAAAGCTATACAATTAAAAACTAACCCATAAAAAACCTAATTAGGCTAGGCCGGCTTGCTGAAATAAAAACGTCTTCAGGGCCTTATGGAAAGTGCGGAGATCCGGGATCAGTCGTATTCCGGGAGGAAGCTCATTCCAGAGGCCGGGTGCCCTCACAAAGAAGGCTCTCCCCCTGGGGGCCGCCAGGGTTTTACATTAAGCATTAATTATTGTTGTTGGTTTCTATTTATTTATTTATTTATTTTTCTAATAGTTTTTTATTAAGTTATAAGTTTATTATAAAATACTAAGTACAAAAGCAAATAAGAGGACAGTGAGGGGGAAGGGGGAAAAGAGAGGAAGAATAGGGGAAGAAAAAGAAAAAGAAACATTGACTTCCAACTCTCTCTGTTACAGAAGAATAAGGCATTAACAACAAATCATCACTTTTTGATTTATCATAATAGTATGAACCAGTCATTTCTACAAAAGTCTAATTAGTAAAACCTAAAATCAAGATGTCATTCTTTTCCACATCAAGCATGAAGTTCAGAAGCGGTTCCCATGTGGAAACAAAAGTACTTATGTTCCTTTCTTTAAGCAAAATAGTCAATTTTGCCATTTCAGCCAACTCCAGAATGGTTGCAGAAGGTTTCTATTTATTTCTGATAAACCATATTTCAAATGTCTAAATCATGCTGTAGAATGTGTTGTATATAAGGAAGCCGTTACTGCTTCAATTAATTAAGCTTCGGTTACGGATATACAGTGGTGTTAATTTTGTCATTGCAATGTATTATCTGATTTTGATCTCTCAGTCTAATATACTCACCAGCAAAGATTTTCTTTTCCAAGAGAAAAGATGCTGTGCCAGGTTGGTTCTTGTTGCTGTCAGTCCAGGGCATTTTTGTTATTGTTTCAGATTTTAGCTGGGGGAAAGAGAAAAACAAGCAAAAAGAAACCTTAGAATGATTTCACTGGATGAGTAGGTCAGGACTGATGTGCGTTATTTTTATTTTCCTCTTCTATCTTAACAGATCCCAGAGTGGCAGAGCCAATATTCCTAGTCCTTCCTCCCCTTGGCCACCACTGCCGGTGTCCTATCATAGCATATCTCACTGACATGCTCCCTTATCTTCAAAACCTTCCTTCTCCTCAGCTTCCATCGCCAATAGTTGTGGCTTTCCCCCATTCTTTCATAAGTCCCTCTGATTTTCGAAAAACACTTCTGCTCAGAGAAACAGTATTTTATCTATATCTGGAAAAAAAGGCTCATTTCGTTCCATATCCAGAACAAACTTACATGTTTCAATTTGGGCATCAGCCATGTTAGATGCTTGAAATGGTTTGTGTAGTTTTGCACGTCCATAGCATTAATCAAGAGACTTAAGCGTAGTACCAGGTAAAGGTAAACCAAACCTTGTTATGGTATGCCCTGCCACATTATGTAAATAGGGTCTGTGTAAATGATTCAAAGATCAAACATCTCTGTTAAAAATAGAGCCAATTTACATAGAACAGTGGGATAAGTTCCCACAGTGGGATAAGAAAGCAAATGACACAATGTACTGTATGTCAGAATGTAAACTACTCTTTGTGCTTGCATCATGGTGTCTCACAAAAGTATGTAAGGGACAGAATTTGCATTGTGACATCACACTGCCTATGTCATTATTTTCATGAAATATTTGAGCGGCACGGATGCTAGAGAAATGATAAGGATGGTTAGGAGGTCTTCTTCACCCTTACTGGATTCCAGCCAATGTAATAAGGGTAGAGAATGGGCCAGGAGGAGAAGGTGAGGCAGAAAACCAATCAAACCAGCAGTGTGTGATTGTTTGATCAATCATTTAATGAATAAATTTGCTGATATTCACTCTACATGGGGAGACAAAATGCCTGGTACTGTTGCTTGAGTTGTGAGCTTGTGGATCTCAAGAACGTAGACAGAATATTTGGGTTGTGAGCTTGTGGATCTCAAGGAAGTAGACAGAATAAGAAGAGCTCTGCTGCTTCTGAATTTGATCCCTGTCCTTTTTGGCTAGTAAAAACAGACAAGGAAAGAATTAAAGGCTGGATTAGAGGCTTTATTTGACACCACTTTGTAGAAGAGGAAGGTTTCAGCAACTTTGAACCTTTGTCTATTCCCATTTAAAGAAGCAATCCTACATCCAACAGAGTTGGATATATAGCCCTACTTTTAACCTCCCCTTCTTCCCCAAGAAGGCTGTTGAGATTATGGTGAGATTGTAATGACAGAGAGCTTTGAAAGAAGTGGAACACCTAGACCAGGGGTGTCAAACTTAAGGTCCACGGTCAGATCTGGCCCATGGGGCCACCCTGGGAACAGCAAAGGACTGGCCCACGGTGCCTCTGCCTCGGCCCTCCCGAGCTCTGTTTTTTGCTGTCAGAGGGTTGCAGGAGGCCATTGCAGCCGAAAACAGAGTTCGGGAACCCGTTTTCACTAGCAGAGCACTCAGGCCACCACCGGTGCCCCCAACATGAGTGGTGTTGAGCTGGCCACATCCACTCTGGCTATGCTCACCCTGGCCATGCCCAGCCCAGCTCCCCGAGGTCAAACACAACACTGATGCGGCTCTCAATGAAATCAAGTTTGACACCCCTGATCTAGACTCTTGCCAGTCTAGATTCAGGTGTTCAAGAAAAATTAATTAATGTAAAGCTATAAATGCTTAAATGAGAACATTCAAAATTGGTCAGACTGTAGGTGCAGATGATATAACCAGAGAAGTATACAAATATGGAGGTGGTTTGCTTATGGAATAGCTACACAATTTGTTTAACCTATGAAGACCACATCTTTGCCTGATGATTGTAAGAATATTATTGTTCACTTATACAACGAAAAAGTAGCAATGGTAAATGGAGATTAGTTTGTTAAATGTGTCTGGGAAGTGCTCAGTATAATTCTCATCAAAAAGGTATATGGGGTGATAAAGAAAAAAAACTCAGAAGTGCAATATGACTTTTTGCTCAGCAGGGGGCATGCAGAGTAGAGTTTTGCTCTTCGACATGTTGCTGAGAAAGGTGGGAAAGTAAGTTACAATATGCTTATTGATTTAGAAAAAGCATATGATAAAATGAAGAGGGTGGAATTATGCAACAAACAGAGAGTTTACGTTGGTTACTGAATGTGATAGGGCATCTATACTGCATAAGTAAATTAAGCTCAAGGTTGACTCAGCCTTCCATCCTTTCAAAGGTAGGTGAAATGAGGACCCAGATTGTGGGGGCAATAAGCTGACTTTGTATAAATATACAAAAAGTATGAAGGCTATTGCTTAACGCATTGTAAGCCACCCTGAGTCTCCGGAGAAGGGCGGCATATAAATTAAAGCAAAAAAAAAAAAAAAAAGTGTGGGAATAAAAGGATGTGGACTAAGACAAAATTACTATATTAACAACAGAGGTGTTTTGATTGGAGATATAAATACGTGCAGACCTTTGTATGCAAAAAGTGCTTTGTTGGTTGAGGATCTGAATTATTTGCAGTGAATATTAGATTGGATTTCATATTGCAATGAGGAGCATGGGTGTAAAAACCAATGCATCAAACATCAAAGTAATTGTATTGACAGAGAAAATACATAATTTAAATAAACTTGTAATGTGAACAATAGAAAGTTATACATATAGTACGTGGCAAAAAAAGGGAAGAAATTATTAAGATGGGCATTTAGGTAGTCAGTTTATGAAAGATGGAAAAATGCAAGGACAAATTTTAAAATAATAATTTATTAAAGAAGGTGCAAATTTGGATAGGAAGATAATGGTTAGCACATTGTTCTTTTGCGAGGAATAAATCTTTGTCAAAAGAAACAAAAATGGCTATGTATAAGAATATTTATACATTCTTTATTGTATGAATTTGAGAGTTGGATATGTCAGAAGAAGCATAGCAGCATGTTGAATGCAGTGGGAGTGGGATACTTTAGAATGTGTTAGATGAAACAAGAAGAGAGAGGGAATTAAAGGGTGCTGAGTTAATATGAATCCAGAAGTTAGCAACTAGTATGAAAGAAGTACATTGAGGTTGTTTGATCATATACATAGAATATGCAAGAATTAATGAAGATCAAATCACACAATAATTATATTAAGAATGAAAGGGTTGAAAGAAGAGAGAAAACTGAGAAGTCATGGTTGGATGGGGCTGATAATATCTTCAAAAAGAGGGAAATAAATTTGAATAACAAATGCAGTGTGTGAATTAGTGCATGGAATTCCATGTAGTGGAAATGAGGATGTTTTGCAAGGATAGAAAGGAATGGTGTGGGTGTAAAGAGATTTAGTTAGATTTCCCTTTCTCTGATCCTCTGTCTTTAATTTCTTCTATTTATCTCTTCTTAGGGTACTTTTCTTCTATATTTTGTATCACTTGTAGTATCACTTTCCTTAAAAGAGAGTAGTCGGGCTGTATGCAGCTCAGCTAAATCCAAGGTTAAAGAAATCTAATGCTCCAGCAGTGGGATTCAAATAATTTAACAACCGGTTCTCTGCCCTAATGATTTCTTCCAACAACCAGTTCACCAAACTGCTCAGAAAGTTAACAACCAGTTCTCCCGAAGTGGTGCAAACTGACTGAATCCTACCACTGGATATAACAATGAACATTCAGTCATGGCTGCAGTTACATGCAAAATCCTGCATCGTAAATTATATTTTCATTAATCTTAATAAACCATTGACTAGCAAAATGTCTTCTGGTTGACAATAAAAAGATGATTACTAAACCTAAGAATACAGCATTAAAAATAAATTTTAAATTAATAATTATTACAATTCTGCCTGCCCAAGAGACTGTCTCAAGAACATAAAAAACAAAAACAAAGCTAAGTTAGGCCTCTTATCAAGGAAGCAAATTCTGAAGAACTGATGCAGCTTTATATCAGGCCTGGCTTCTATACTGCCATTAAGACAAAATCCTTAGGCAAAGCACTTTGATAGCTTCAGTGAGCTGTGGAGGGGACCGCCATCCTGAAAAAGATATTTCAAATTAACCAGCCCACGTGGTTTAAGTCTTTATTAACTTTAAAACCCTCAATAACTTAGGCCCAGTCACTTGGAAGAAGTAACTCATCTAGAAGCAGCTTGTCCATTTTTTATCTCTTCAAAAACAAACTGGCAATCAGTGTAAAGCAGAAAGGTCTTGTGGTATCCATGCTGGATTGCTCTTAGGAATTACAGTGAAATTGCCTCTCTGCCAATTTTTGCCTGGCCTGTTTTAGGACAGCATATCCTGTTGGAAACAGCTGGCCCCCATACAGGCACATTCGCTTGCTTCATGACATAAGCTGAGTTGAATCCTTGTGAATGGAGTCACATTTCAAAGAAGCAAGACCACAGTTTCCCATGGCATGGGATTAACACCAGAAGGCAAAGCCCTCCTGTGATGGGGAAGCCCTGGACAGAGCTGCTAGCAAGCCGATGTTAACTTTGGGAGGGGGGGTTGCAATTCTTGGGGCAGTTCTCTTTTCCCCCAGAAGATCAATGTAATCCATCTCCTTTGGGGAACACTGATATATTTCCTTTGAAGATGTTTCTTAACTCATATCTCAAGAAGCTCTGTTTTGTTCAAAGCTTTTGAGTTTTACATTTTAACTTTTGAATAATCATTTTTAATTTTGTAAAATTTCATGTAAGAAAGTGTCTTAGAATAGCTGAGAAAATATGCAACTGAAGTGGACAGACTAATGCATATACAAGCAGGTGAGAAGACAGACTGTTACATTAAAAAGTGGAAGGGTTTCTAGCATATGGTCTATATTCAATTGTTAATTTTTGTTTCATTTGGCTCATTCTGACATTACTAGTAAGTTTCAGAATATTCCACCCCCGTATAAGGCAAGCAGAAAGGTCTATTCTGTCCAATACAATTATTTTACAGATGCTTTTCTTCATATAGCTGTAGCCGGATAAAAAAAGCTGAAATTATTATTTTAAGAATATGGGCATTGATTATTTAGGTATATCATTTTTTCTTCATGAGCCACCTGAGATTTCTGAGGTGAGTTCCATCAAACTCTGATTAATATAAGGTTTTCCTCTTAAAGAAATTGCTGTGAAAGATGTCAGAAATTAGCCTTTGTCAACCTCATGCCTTCCAGGTGTGTCAGGGCAAGAATTTCCAGACAGTGTGACCTTTGACAATTTGGGATTTCTGGGAATTATAGCATCAATACATTATGGGGGCTGATTGAGGAAGACTCCTTCGAGGAATTGTTGAAATGGTATTGCTAGAATTTGTCAGCCCCGTATTCATTCTTTCTCTCCTTCTCTTTAAGACAGGGCAATTCTGAAAGCTAATGACTCTAGTCAACTTTCAAGGGCTGAAACGGTCACCTTTATATCTGAGTCTGTCAGTGCAGCAGCAGCAGTAGCAGCAGCTACAATAACCACACCTTTGTGGCCAGTTTCTTCCAAGAGCACAAATGGGACCACAATTGCCATTTCTGAATCCGAAGAGGAGAAAGCCAAAAAATTACTGTATTGTTCATTATGCAAAGTGGCTGTGAATTCTTTATCTCAGTTAGAAGCACACAACACAGGTGAGTCTTTACCAGATGCATAACAGATGCATTAATTAAATGCATAACTGTATGTTTTAGAAAATTTAGGCAGTGTGTGTAACGTTTTGTCAGGTCATTTTTTTTTCTTGAAAAGGAAAGGATGTTCATTTAAAATATATTGTGGCAATTACTGTACTAGCTTCCTTCCTCTCGACAGCCCAGGAAGCATAAATTCTGTTCTTTATTAAAGATCTTATTCATCTGGTTACACTGCTTAATAAACCTATTTTCCATGAATGCCCTTGTTGTCCAGATAAATGGTTTCTCTCAGCCCTGTATTTTACATCCTAATACTAGGAGGAGATTCGGCAGGTCACATCTCAGTACTTAAAGATTTCAAGAGAACCTGTTTAGATCCACCTTATTAAAGCCCCCATTCAATAGTTAATGAAAAGACCTTCGCTGGTATTCTACTTGCCAGCTTTGCCAGTAATCATTCTCTATTATGATCTTGCCATTCCAATGTTTTCTCACATATTTTTCCATGACTTTGGCTTACACTCACACAATCCAATAGGAGAAAATGCATTGCCAAAAAAAAAAAAAGAGAGACTGTTTTGACTAAACGTTGGGCCTGCTAATTTCAATATATAAAAGCAAGGCTAGAAATAATATATGATTATAATTATGTGCCATAAGGTTAGCCTCAACTTTTTTATCTAGGATTACAAATAAATAGTATAACAAAAATATTAAAACTTGTAATTCTCTTTGCTATAGTGTTGGGTGTTACACAGAAATGCATGCCTGCTCTGTTTGTCCCACTTATCTAGCATCAGGACCACAAGTAAAGTGGATATAAGAATCAACAAAGAAGGTGGTTGTCACTTAGGGACAATTTGTAATTATATATTTAGATTCTTCTTTGTATAAGGAAGAAGAGAAGAGAGCTGCTCCTGCCCTATGCAAACTTGTGCCCTATAGGCTATTGGCATGTAGACCTTCACAGGTGATGTGCAGACTACCCCCTTGCCTGACCAATTATCTGGGATTTCTTGTCGTTTTATTTTATTTAAAAAATAAAAACCAAGTATGCTGGTTGTATCAAGATTCTGCTTGTGTTGTGTTAATACACAGAAGCACATATGCAAATCAATTAAGTGTTTCAATTTTAATTAATCATACTGTGCATCAGTAGATGGCAGAGAGACATAAAAATGATTGAAGGAACTACACACTCCAATTCTGGAATTAATTTTAGAAAATTTCAGAGTTAAAGAGAATGCTGGGACTAGAATGTTAAGCAGGATTCCTAAGCAAGCAAGAAAGAAACAGTTTTCTCCTATTCTACTTGCTCAATTCTGTTTTTATACTAGGTCTGTGCTTCGTATTTTCTCTAGTTACTCAAGGCAATGTACATAATAGTTTTCTTCTTACCATACAACAAACCTCTGAGGTAAATTGTGCTTAGTGATTAGCTGAAGGTTACCCAGCTTCCATGGTCAGCCCAGAAGAGACTATTGAACCACTGAATCTCTCCACCTGTAGTCCTTACACAAATAGCTATTTACGCTGCACTGAATCTTAAAATACTACCTCCATCGCAAGGAGTAAAGCAGAAATGCTAAGCAGCATACACTAAGAGGCTTACCACAAATGGCTAATTTACTGTGTTTATAGCTATATTTTCTTTGAAAGCTCAACTGCAAAGAATTGGTGAATGGAAAAAAAAAACCTTTGTCCCCGAACCTTTGCGCTTCTTCATATTCAAGTTGTAAAGAAAACACAGGACATTGATCTCTATATTAGAAATTGACTTTTTGAAAATTTTCAGAAAAATGTATCTTCTGCTATAACAGTGATTTAAAAGAGAAAAACAATTGTTTTTCCATCCTTGTGTATTTCAATATATTGCATATATCTCCTAACTGGTGGAATGCAAGGAACAAAGTGTTACTTGCAGCAGAGTATTAGAACCTGGCTTGCTTAGAATAGTGCAAATATGCTTTAGGCAAAACCAGACCTTGCTTGTGTCTGTAACCCACTGCCTGAGATATGTCAAAACTGATTGTCATATCAGTACATTAACAGATACAACAAAGGCTAGTAACCTTCTCTTTGGGTTATCTGCATGACTAGCTTGTCTTGCAAAGGTAAGATGACTTCAATTCTAACTGGGATACATATGGGAGTCAAGCAGCTGAGGCTAAAAAGCAGACGTGGCCCCCACATCTTACTAGAAAGCATTATGTTACTGCAGTGGGCCCATAGATATAGACTTATTTGGTCTTAATTGACCGAAGCCATGATGGATAGCAGAAGTCTATATCTATGGACCCACTTGGTGACATATGGAAGATTGCAATTTGGAATGTTATCAGAAGTAAATTATGAGGAGTATGCATGAACTAATGAAATATAAAAAGAAAAATAATTATTTTGTGTGAAATTAAAAAAAGACGAAGGATGTAAGAAAATTGGAATAGAATTGATCTGATCTTGTGGCATGGAATTGCTGAATACCTGCAGAAAAATGGAAGATGTAACTTGAACTATAAATCAAAGTATTAACTATGAACTAAAAAGTATAGGAAAATATGAATTGGAATTAATATCATTAAAGTTCTTGTCGGTGCATATGAGAGAAGGAAGCCATAGGTTAGAGATAGTTGCGGATAATGCTCCAGTGAATGGCAATAATGGAGGAACTACCGTGTTTCCCCGATAATACAACATGTCCTGAAAATAAGGCCAAGACTGATTTTTGGGGTGGGCGTAAATATATGCCCTCCCCCGAAAATAAGTCAGGCCAGCTACCTGCTGCCGAGTCTTCGGGAGCCGGGGCAGAGAGGCCTCTGGCAGCTGGGACAGAGAGGTGGGGAAGGGTGAGGGAGCCGCAGCCCCACATGGGGATTCCGGACCGCCGCCATCCCAGCACTGAGGCTGGCTTCCTCTGCAGCTTTCAAACCCCGTCTGGAAGCGGAGAAGAGGCCGGTTGGGCCAGCCGCCTGCTGCCAAGTCTTCGGGAGCTAGGGCAGCCGCATAGACCTGGGTGAGCACCAAGTGGCAAGAGGTGCCGGGCAGCTGCTCTCTTGCGAGCAGGCTCCCGAAGAGCCAGGCACAGGGACGTAAGGATGCGGGCACGGCCTCTGGCGAACAGCTGACGAGTGGCTACAGTGCAACACAGCAGCAATCATGAGCACCCCCAAAATAATAAGACCCCTGATAATAAGGCCAAGCTCTTATTTTGGGGTTCAAAAGAAAATAAAACCCTGTTTTATTTTCAGGGAAACACGGTAGGCATGACATTGGTGAAAGAATTGTGCAACAGCATCCTGAATAAATATGATCTGGGAGTGAGTCTGCCAGGTGACACAGATGGATATGTATAAACAAGATGAGAGAGTTCATAAAATGATCAGACTCTTTGAAGGTTCAAAAATAATTGAGAATAATGACTGTCTTAAGAGCATCTCCCAGTAAAAAATCTGCTTGCTTCAAATTCATGGTTTAAAGCATAAGATTATTTCTCTGTACAAGAAGTACAAAATGCAGAGTAATTTGGATAGAAATTTTTTTTAACTGTTTTAAATGTGGCTGAAGAGGGCTAATCAGAGTGATGGCATTAAAAATAAAAGTGATTAAAATATTTAGGAAAAAACTAATATGCAAGAATGCTGGAAGGAGAATTTTAAATATCTGTGGGAATGGTAGTGATATGTCAAAGAGTAAAATAAAAATGAATTTGTACTCATTAGTACTATTAGGGAATAGGATTCATTATTTCTCCTTTATGTATAAAAGAAGAACATGGAAATCAAAAGAATCAGTTCAAAAAGAAATTGGGCAACTCATTTTACTGCATAAATTTATCACTTTAAAATAGCTTTTTCTTTCTAGAATCCTTTTTTTAACATTCTAAAAAGATGAAAAATGGATATAGTTTTTGGGAATCACACTCTTCTTACATATGAAGTTGTGGATGATTTAATAATGAGGGTACGATAAGTAATCCTTTTACGACGAATACACGTGTCCCAGAATAATGTTGCAGGATCCAATCTGGGCCAGTCACCAGGACCAGAGGTTTTGTCTTCTAAGATTTTGGACTTGTGCTGAAGATGGGCTCCAGCATGTGTCCAAAAGTTCGGAAGACAAAACCTCTGGTCCTAGATTGAACCTTGAATAATCCTTCTGATCAGTGCCAGTAGAGACTAGGAGATCCTGAACAGTCTCATAGCCACGTGAATGGGTTCTAAAGTGTCTTGAAAACTTCCAAAACCTGAAGAACACTGTATAAAAAATGACCGAGATCAACCATAAATTTTTTATTTATATTTACTTATTTTATAGAAAATCTAGGAAAGGATAAAAATGTTTCAATGACTAAAAATGTTTGTTTCCTCATTAAAGTTTTCTGATTCTTTTGTAATAATCACTTGTCAGGTTCCAAGCACAAGACAATGGTTGAAGCTAGGAATGGTGCTGGTCCAATTAAATCTTATCCTCGGCCTGGATCCAGATTGAAGACTCATGGAACTAGTATGGGTTCAGGACTACAGAACAAAACTTTTCATTGTGAGATTTGCGACGTCCATGTCAATTCAGAAATTCAGCTGAAGCAGGTATGTCTTTTGTACATATTACATACTTATTCTATTAATTAACATCATTTAATTTGGTACAAGCTAAATCCCTTGCTCAAAAGGGATCAAAAATACCCCAGGTCTACTCTTACGAGCTACTAGCACTAAACTCAATTCAAGGTTATGCTTTCAAATATAACATAATGCATAATGTTACCTTGTCATCATGCTGAAAATATTTAGACAATATTTGTTAATGGTCAACAGCATTGGTAAAACATTTGAAACCATGTTGTTACTGAGAAGACCAGTCACTTTTACAAATAACAGCAATATGTCTCTCCATGCCAGGAAACCAACAGATGAACAACTGCTTTTTGTGGGCTATGGTTGCTCTGCCTTTAATATACGGATTGGCAGCATCACATACAGCATTCCAGTTTTAACCCTCTTGTGATGTTGGTCTTGTTTACTTATTTAACTTTTAAGTGGCTTTATTATAAGTTTTAATTTTTGCTTTTGTTGTATACCACCTTGTGTAAGATGGATGGCCATAAATTTGATAAATTTATTTCCAGTTCTGTTGGAAAGAATTGATCATTGTTACACAATGGCTGCCAGCACATCTTCCCTACTTATTTATCTTGCTACGGTATCTTATTATTGTACAATAAATCCTTTAAATTTATTGTTATCCAGAAAAGTCTTGATCCATACATATTTGAAGTTAATGTTCATTTTTGTGCTTTTTAATGTTAGAATTAAACAGTTGCCTGTTTCTGCAGATATTATACTGCGTATGCAGTATGTATAGTGGATATTAAAAAATCAACACAGCCCTCTTAAAATGCCAGGTTTTGGGGATGTAAAAAAGTCAGATCAAAATAAAACATTTCGAATTTAATGTATTCTTTAATGTAAGTTATAAAGCTGTACAATTCAATTGAAATACAAACTGAAATCTTTTAGGGGGAGAATAACAATAAAAACCCTACAATAACATGGTTGCATGCATACCCTTAAACTAATACATTGTTGCAGCACTTTTTGATTATCTGACAGCATTTAGTCTTTTGGAGTAGGAGCCCATCAGCATGATAAATTCTTGTCTTGGGAAACTTTGCCAACTCTTTCTTGCAAAAGCACTCCAAATCTGTCAGATTGAGAGGATATTTCAAGGCAGGGCGCTTTTCAGATCACTCTATAGATTTTCGGGTCTGGGCTTTGAATGGACCAATCCAAAACTTTGTTTTTCTGGTGAAGCTATTCTTTTGTTGATTGGAGCAGTGGTGGGTTGCCCCCGGTTTGCACCAGTTCTATAGAACGGTAGTAAAACCGGTGAGAGGCCCCGCCCACCGACTCCGACGTCACCAAAACACTTCTGTGCATGCGCAGAAGAGGCGTGCGGCCCCGCTGAAAACCAGTAGTCAAGGTAAGTAGAACCCACCCCTGATTTGGAGGTACGCTTTGGGTCATTGTCATGTTGAAATTCCTTTTCATCTTCAGCATTTTTCCAGAAGCCTGAAAGTTTTGTACCAAATTTGACTGATATTTGGAACTATTCATAATTCTCTCTACCAGTTTCAGTTTTAAAAAAAGCAGCCCCAAAGCATAATGTTACCACCAACATACTAAACTGTGAGCGTGATGTTCTTCTGGTGATGCCCAATGTCGTTTTTGTAAATAAATGCTTCCGTCTTGCCATTGTACCCCACAAGCCCAAACATATGAAGAATAGAGATGGTTGCATATGTAGTACATAACCAGTACTTTCCAGAAACTCCTGCAGCTACTTTAACATTGCTGTAGGCCTCTTAGCTACCTCTCGGACCAGTTTTCTTCTTGTTTTTTCATCAATATTGAAGGGACATCCAGTTCTTGGTAATGTCACTGATGTGCCATATTTTCTCCACTTGCTGATGACTGTCTTCATTGTGTTCCATGATATATCCAATGCCTTGGTTTTTTTTTTTTTTACCCTTCTCCCAATTGATACTATCCAACATTTGGAGCCCTTTGATGCTTTATAAGCTCTTTGCAGACCAGATGCATACTGAGTATTGTTTAACACCAGGTTGAATGTGATTGGTTAATTCTGAACACAGCCATATCCCTTCTTATAAGAGGGCGTGAACACTTATGCAGCAACATTATTCTTGTTTTTTATTGTCATTTTTCCCCTTTAAAAGGGTTCAGTTTGTTTTTCAATTGAATTGTACAGCTTATATGTTATATTAAAGGTGGAAAAAATCCTGAAGTGATTTATTTTAGTCTGATTTTTTTACATCTCAAAAATCTGGTATTTTAACAGGGGTGTGTAGACTTTTTATATCCATTGTAAAATACCTAGATGAGCTTTCGTCAACTTACCTTTCCGTGAAATAAATAGAGATGTTTACTTGGAGACTATACACTGGTTAGAGTTATCAACCGATAAGTTTTACACAGAACATTTGCATTGATTTTTCAGCACATTTCTAGCAGAAGGCACAAGGACAAAGTTGCAGGGAAACCCACAAAACCGAAATACAGTCCTTACAACAAACTACAGCGTAATCCAAACATTCTAGCGGTAAGTATTGCCTGGTGTGCTTATCCTATTGAAAAGCTTTGATTACCCTCCCCTACATTCATGAGTATGTCTAGAAAAGAGATTTGTGTGCATTCCTCAAAAGTAGCCTCTCCACCAAACTCAGTGGCAATTATTTTTCAGGAAGTGTTCAAGGTACACTTATTTTCAATCTTAATGTGCAGCACATTTCAGCTGACCTTTAAAAACAAAAAAAAAACCTAATATGCCTCCTTCGTTATAAAAATGAAATTGAAGTACTTCAGGTTTTATTAGCTTATTAGTTTCTCAGTGTAAAAGCTGAAGCCACAATAGGGGTATGCTTCAGCATAAGCCCCAGATTAGTACCTAATTTACATCTACGAGTAAACAACCAAACCACCTTCCCTTTTTTCTTCAAACACAAGATGTTATATCGTCACTGTTTTGTCTGAGGAACTGACTGTGCTTTATTGGAATAGTACCGTGATGACAAACCTATGGGATGTGTGCCACAGGTGGCATACGTAGCCATATCAGTGGGCACGCAACCTCAGCTGATTTTTGGGCCTTCTCGGCTCACCAGAAGTAGGGAAACAGGCTGTTTCCTGCCTCTGGAAGGCCTGGGGGGCTGGGGAAGGCCCATTTTTCTCTCTCACCTGGCTCCAAAATCTTTCTGGGAGTTTGGGGAGACTGAAAATGGCCTTCCCCACCCCCACCCCCCATAGACCCTCCAGAGGCCAGAAATGGCCCATGGGACTGGAAGTTCACAAACGGGCCATTTTCAGCCTCTGGAGGACCTCCGGGAGGGTGGGGAAGGCAGTTTTCGCCCTCCCCAGACTCCTAGAAAGGCTCTGGAGCCAGGTGAGAGAGAAAAATAGGCCTACCGGGCTACCACGTGCCAGGAGCAGGGGGAGCAGGGAGGAGTTGTGCATGCATGCGCGGGGGGCACATAGAATTATGGGTGTGGGCACGCGTGTGCAGCCCCCCTCCTGGCAAGTGATAGCAAAAAGTTTAGCCATCCCTGGAATAGTAGAATCTTTTCCCAAGTGCTCAGGGTATACTTCTCTCTGTGGTTAACCTTGTTCTCATTGCCATTTTAACAATTATATAACATAAGACTCCCTATCTTGAATTAATGGAATGCAGCAAAACCCAAACCTCGTCCAGGAAGCTGTGCTGATAACGCCAGCAGCTAAATATGACACAAGAAGGGATAGGAAATACTGCAGCTGCTTTTAGCCTCCTGTGCTGAAATTGAGAAAGGAAAGGTGCAGGGACAAGAGCAGGAAATTAAAAACTTTGTCAGGAGACCTTTTGAACAAGCTCCATACATTTGGGGGGGGGCGGGGAAATCAACCATTTCACAGCAGTATTTCTTTCCCCTCTTTCCATAGGCAAAGCTGGCCTTCCAAAAAGATCTTCTTAAGCCTTTGGCACCTGCCTTTCTCTCTTCTCCTCTGGCTGCCGCCGCTGCGGCAGTATCCACAGCTCTGACTCTCCCACCACGACCGTCCGCTGCTCTCTTCCAGGCTTCTGCAATACCCACAGCTCTCCTAAGGGCAGGACATGGGCCTCTCCGAGCTACTCCAGCATCTATCCTCTTTGCTCCCTACTGAATTGGGAATAAGCAAGGCATAACTTTGGCCATGTGGAACAAGGACAAAAGAAGACGAGAGCAAGATTCCCCCTCCCCCCCCTTTTTTTTATAAGATTTGTGTTTTTAAGATCTCGTGCTTGATTCCATCCTTAGAAAATAAGTTACAAAAACTCACTGGCAGGAATTGCAATCTAGAATCCATTTTGGGGGGAGTGTTAAATAAAGTTCAGATACCTGCTTTACAAAGACAAAAACATATTGTTCACAAAATATATCAAAGGTTCATCGATCTGTTTTAACTAGACATTATGATTTGTAAACAAGGAATGTGGAATATTTTCCTGTATGACTTGAAAAACCAGAATTGTATACATGGGTCTCTGGAAGCCAACTTGTTCATATCCTGGTGAGTAGATTCTGGTGTGCCACAAAAGCTAGATGAAGGAATTAGTTTGCTGAAAACATTTCAGTACTGGATTGCAACTTCTTATTACCTAATGTACTCCCATTCCTTTAATACGTGTCTTGTTTAGGCCTTAGTTAGTATGAGTACATCTTGTGTAACGCTGCGGATTTATCTCTCACTTGATTTCAAATCATTTTGGTGGCAGTGCAAATATTTAGAAGCACAGCTCAGCCTTGAATTTTTCTGTTTGAAAATTTAATGTCTTTAATTTATCATTTTATTTAGAAGGACTCAGAAGTAACAAAGCCATATATCCCATAAATAAGATGATGACTTGTTTACAATTTTTATTTTATTTATTTTGCATTCAGTTATTCTCCCCCCTGCCTCGTTGCTAAACATCCACTTCAAAGACATTTCATCATTTATATGTTTACTAAAGAGATTGTGCACATTGTTCAATCAGATAATGAGCTGACATATTTATTATTCATACATATCCCTTCACACTCATGTATATACATATCTCAATTTGGTTTGCATTTCTAAACTTCTTTCCTATAGAATGATGGCTGCATACAGTTGTGGCTCCCAATGCAATAATGTACAGGAGATAAAATATTTATAAAACAAATTGTTTGTTCTGTTGATGAATATTATTATTTTAGCCTTCCAGTCTGCTTTTCTCCCCACACCATTTTATCAACATAATTTGGGCACTGAGGACATACTGTATGTCTTGCTTGGGAAAATGAGGGTATTCTCCGAAAGCATCTTTGCTTGCAATCTGTAAAGAAAATATATTTATATTTTTAAAAGTACATTTTAATAAAATACCGTGGGAAAATAATAATATAATTTATTAATGAGAAAAAAATTCATGTGACACTCTTAAATGAGCTCTGTACTGGTAAAACGACATTACACAGAATTTATTTTTAAAACTTTGATAACTGAATCATGGTATAGCTCACTTACATAAAACTGTACGATCACTTGATTAAACTTTCATGGGTAATGAATGACTAAAGTTATGAATACATAATAGATACTTTGCATATCACTCTGAGAAGCTTAGTATCATGACGTGCTGTTTTTTAAGAAACAAAAATCTATAGTACTGTATACATACTTTAAGGGGTTATTTAAAAAAAGCATCTCAGAGTCCATCATTTTATCTCTTCAGTTGATTACTGAATATTTCTGGGCTAAGCATCTTTTGCTGTTCCCCTGCTTCTGGTAATCAGAGCTCTACTGCCTCTGAACGTAATGATTAATATTAAATATTAACATGATTTCTGGCAGACCACTTTTCCAATTTCCTGTTATAGTATCGAATTGAAAGATACATAAACCTAAATCTATTTGTCTGATGTGTGACTGTATTTGGCTTTGATTATTAAATCTGGGGGGGGGGGGGAAATCATCCTATTTTCTCAAATGGGAAGGGAAAAGTTTTGTCAATTTCCAATGGTAATTGAGGCATGGATTCCTAAATTTAAAATTTGGCATCAAATCCCACATGAAATTAGACTGTTCCAATCAGAATTTTCTGATTGTACAGACTCTGGAATAGCCATGACAGTTCTGATATCTGAGCATAATAACTAACAATGTGAAATATGATAGCCGTTTTTCAAGATGGGAGCAATACTATTAGGCAAAAAAGGTAACAACAGTTCTCAGAGTATATTTTTACTAAACACAGAAACTTAACCCCACCAAAATGCAATCAAGAAATTTTATCACTCTGTTTATAAAGGGTTTGATTATATTACAAGTGGTTCTAGGTTAGGGTTATGACCACTCAGCGACCATTCAAACTTATGACAATGCCGAAGGAGTGAGTTGTGGCTTCACAGTGCCCACATAGTCACATGATCACAATTAAGGCACTCAATACCTGGCTCACAATTATGATGTCGTAGCAAGTCATGTGATCCTGATTTCCAATGTTCTCTGCTGGCTTTCCTCAAGCAGAGTCGATGGAGAAGCCAGCAGGAAGTCAGAAGACTTAGTTACATGAGGTCCTTGCTTAATGCAGCAACTGAGACTGCCACAATTGGTATTGATAAGTTGTGCAGTCACGTGACATTGTGCTTTATGACAATGTCCATTAGTGACAGCAATTCCAGTCTTAATTGATGTTGTAAACCGAGAACTACAGTTTGTTGCAATGTAATTCAGGTGCAACTGTCTTTTTGAGCCATGCTTCATTTCCCTGGAAAAAAGTTCCATAAATAACATCTGTGTGTTGTTACTGAAATTAAATTTTGCAGTCAAGTCTTCCTTTTTATCTATGTGTGTGTTTAGAAATCCCTAAATCACATTATATACAGGGGGCTGTAGAAAAAGACAATGTCGTAATACAGAGTCTAGAAGTGTGGTGTCTGAATAAGATAAATGAAAGGGCCTTTCTAGTTTCATCATAGAGACCTATCTAGTCCTAATAATTTGAAAGCTCTGAATGAACACTTGCCTCTAGTTTTGGAGCAAGTTAAACTGCACTGGTAAATGTCTATTTTGTTCTCCCTTCAGTAAAATTTTCTGCTTGGGGTCTGCAGATGACCCTTATCAGACATGCAATAGAAAAAGAGAAACACATCCTCTATTAGATAATACGCATAGCAGAACAATATATTGATCTATACATCCAAATAGTTATGGCTCCTGCTTAGGCCTTTCCATTGGTGAAGTTTGCAGGTGAAAGACCCAAAGGGGGGGCAAAGGATAGCATATTATCCACCTACATTACATCATAAAAATAAAGTTTTGTTCTGAGCCTTCACTCTAACTCTTAGGTTCAGGTGCTAATAATTCAAATGTCTCCATGTTTATTCCAATAGTTTTAATTATATTTAGATTCTAGAAAGTCTGAGTAGTCTTAAGAGCCAGTTCTGACATACGTTGACTTAATAATTGCCAAAACTTTAAAGCCATTCATTTCTCAGGAACAGACCTTGCTACTGGTTGCTACCCTGTTGTTTACACACAGCTCCTCATACCTTTACTATATTAGGTACCAGCAGGAATGTTACTACATTGGAAAGAATGTAATATTATGAACACACACTTATTTTCTTTGTGGCGGCTTTAATTCCTGCACAACACAACACAAAACTGACATTTCCAGGTACCTATCATCCCATTTGTTGTTGGGATTTAATCTCTATATGTAAACATGAGCCTGATTTGTGGTAGTTGTAACTGCATGGACAAAACCCCACCCTCTTTATATGTATTGCGCATCATCATATGTAAAAAGGAGCTGGGTTTTGTCTTCCATCTTGATTTTCTGGAAACCTCTCTTCCCCATGGAGGTTTAACACCTTCTCTCATTAGGAGATCCTAATTTTTGTCAGGATCACCAGATGCAGAGATGTTTAGTTCAAGAACCTGTTCAGGAATAGACAGACAGGAAATAAAGTGATGCTTATTATAATCACAGGTTTCTGACTCAGAAATGTGTTGCAGCAATGATGGCATTGTTGATTATCTGCAGTGTTTCCTTCGTCTATAGCTGTAACAGAATAATATTTGGGCTCCCACTGTAGTTGGTTTTTTAAAATAAAAATCCTTCTGAAAATGTTATTTAATGCCAGTTCAGGGAACTCTGTGGTGTTATTATGAGTTTCAATATCATTATACCGGGGTCATTGAGAACTACAGGTAGACCTTGGCTTACAAACATTTGTGTAGTAATTGTTCGAAGATACAACAGCATTGAAAAAAAATGACAATTTTTCACACTGAATGACCATTGCAGCATTCCTACGGTAACATAATCAAAATTTGGATGCATGGCAACTGGCATGTTTTTATAATGTTGCAATGTCCTTGGGACATGTAATCATCTTTTGCAACCTTCTGACAAGCAAAGTCAATGGGGAAGCCAGACCCGCTTAACAACCATGTTAGTAATTTAACAACTGCAGTGATTCGCTTAGCAGCCGTGGCAAGAAGAAAGGTCGTAAAATGGGGCAAAACTCACTTAACAACTTGTCTTGCTATAATAATGGAAATTTTGGGCTCAATTGTCATAAGTCTTTTTTTCCGCTTTTCTGTAAAATATGTGAGAGAGATAGAATTTTTTTTTAAGGAGGACATTTAGGAAACCTCCCAAACACAGCTGAAATAGAAGGAAAGCTGTCTAAAAATGAAATTCAAATGGGATGGTGATATGTGGGTGCAGGAAAATATTACATTGCTTTGACAAAACAACAGCTTGAATGTTTATCTCTTATTACAACAAAGCGAGATAAAAATGTTTGAAAGCTTATAACTCCGTATTTCTTATGCAAATAAATAATTAAGTTGTTATGTACTTAAATATTTTCCTGATTATGTTTGCATGTTTCCAGCGTCTTTAATATTGAAATAACTTTTACCTCAAGCTTAGCTGGACGAATTTGTCATTGCCTTCTACTACACAGTGTGGATTGATGCCTTAGATCAGTGATGGTGAACCTTTTAGACACCGAATACCCAAACTGCCCATGCGCGCATGCCCAAACTGAAAGGTGTGTGCGTCCGTGGTGGTATTCAGCCGGTTCTGTCTGGATCATGCGAACTGGTAGCGGTGACTGCAGGAGGCTCCGCCCATCTGCCCAGACGTAAAGCCATGTGCAGAGGTGGTGCACGCGAGCGAAGCAAGCACATGCATGTGCTCAAATTTGTGAACCAGTAGGGAAGGTAAATGAATCCCACCTCTGGCGCGCAGACATGCACGCATGCCCAGCAGAGACCCAAAGACCATCTGGCCAACGGGAGGCAGGACATCCCAACACCAGCAGCACAGCAAGAGATAAGATCTTTTTCTTTCGTGAGCTTCTGTTTCGTCATTTGCACGGAAACAGAAGCTCATGAAAAAAACGCCACGGAGATCTGACCTGGGGCGATGGCGCACGTGCCAGCAGAGAGGGCTCTGCGCGTCACCTCTGGCATGCGTGCCATAGGTTCACCATCATGGCCTTAGGTGTTATTACTGAAGTGAACATCTGCCTACAACATCTTCGTATATCACTGCAATCCCGTTTGGTGCCTCCTTGCTTCTGCAGAGCAACTCGGATGGCCTGTAGATCTTGGGGGACCCTGTTGGGAATATATACTCTTGATGTACATTTCTGGTGTTCTTTGCGGTGACCCAGCAAGACTTTAGTTGGTCTGAAATGCATAGCCTGTTTTTAATGACCATTTCTAGTGTAGCTTACTATGTATCGAGTTATGATGATGATGATGATAAACTGAGGAGGGAAGTAGTAGTAGTAGTAGTAAAAGAACAATGGAGGAAATCTGCTGTAGTTCAGTAAGGTGTTCTCTATGTTCCTTTAAACAGAATAGGTTTTCTGCATAGAAAAACATGCTTCCATCTTTTTATTTTTTAAAAGAATAAACTGACCATTTCCAGTTTGTTAAAGTGCAGTGGTTTGTACTTGACTAAATAACTATTTTCATTAATCAGATAAAAGGAATTTAAAGCATTTGCCAAGGATTTAGGTCAAAAGCAATGCTTGCATCCTTCCAGATGTCATCAGATATAGAGGACCTGAACACTCTGTCAAAAACTGGATTTTGCCTCTCCAAAATATTTTTTGTAAGAGAGAAGAAGCCAGCATTGGTTTTCACACAATAGTGAACCTGTAACTTGACAGCATCCTTTATTTATTGTATTTATTCATTATTTAATTTCACAGATTTGGAGGGGGTTTTAAACGTTTGTCAAGTTTTCAAGCTGTTTGCTTTTCACAATCCTCTGTCTTTCATCCTAACACATTTTAGAAGATTGTGGTGAAGATAAAATGGGACGATTCATCATTTCCACATGTATGTTGGTCCAAACTCTTTGGAGTCCAGAACAGGATAGGTGATGCACAAAGAATTAAGGGAAACCAAGATTATTCAGTTCTGATTTATAGATGTGTTGATGCTATTTTTCTTCTTATCAGATACCCTGAGAGAATTTCTGTACCTTTGTGTTGAGCTAACTATATAGTCATAATAATGATATTTTTTTTCAATTCAAAGTCTACTATACAGGACAGTTTTAATGTACATAGGATTACTCTTTCAGTGGCAATCACCATTTCTTCAGTTCTTGGGATTTGGCTTTGCAGAAGTTATTGAGAACTGTGAAGCAAAAAAGAGGATGAGAAACTCCATTCCACAAGGTTCAAATGGTTGTGTGATTGTCCCAATTCCCTACGAATGGTAGGGAACTAATGGTGATTTATCAATCTTTGTCATGCTGATACCAAAGAGACTTTGGATATATTATCAATTGAGACTCAGTTGTGTGGATTAGTTTCCCTAGTTGGGGTTAGTTGGACCAACTCACTACACAAAATGTATTTGGATGGGCTGTTGACATGAAATATTCTATGTGCTAGTAGTTCCCGACTCTAGGGGGTGGTGCTCATCTCCATTTCAAAGCCGAAGAGCCAGCGCTGTCCGAAGATGTCTCTGTGATCATGTGGCTGGCATGACTAAATGCCAAAGGTGCACGGAACGCTGTTACCTTCCCATCAAAAGTGGTCCCTGTTTTTCCACTTGCTTTTTTTACGTGTTTTCGAACTGCTAGGTTGGCAGAAGCTGGGACAAGTAACGGGAGCTCACCCTGTTATGCAGCGCTAGGGATTCAAACTGCTGAACTGCTGACCTTTCGATTGACAAGCTCAGCATCTTAGCACTGAGCCACCGTGTCCCTATTCATCAATCTCTACTTTTGATCTAAATATTTGAGGTTATCATACATTTTGTATGTCTAGGTCCCTCTCGCTGTGTCTATCATTACTTCTTTAGAAGGGTGAAACAGAATCAACACTAAGTAATATAAATGCATAATCTGGTCAGATTTAATTGAGAAACGGAATTGAGAGCCATAACTATCTTGTTACATAATATGGACATAAAAAGAATGTGAATTGGTAGAGAAGTTTACTTTGTCATTAATGGATTGATTGATTGATTGATTGATCAATTACACCGTGACACCTTTTTTTAAAGACATTTTGAACTAATGAATGTGATAATGTTACAAACAGCCTGCAAGAAAAGCAGTCTAAACACTAGGTAGTAAGTCCAAAGCAGGACTCAGGGAATCAATAACTGGATACACTCAAAAATATGAAGATGGAAATTTTGTGTGGCTTTCCTGATCTTCCTGTGGCAGATGAGTAAAATGATTCATATTATCACTTCCAATTGGAAGCCATCTTGAGTCCCAGTTAGGATACACAGGTGTATAAACTTAGAGCAGCTAAAGTTGAGGTTAGGAGGAGATAGTTGTAATGGTTCCTGGATTTTCTTAACAAGAAGGGGTGAACTGATTCAACAGCTCATACAAATATTAAAGCATTTTTACAACAATGAAAATGTCTTACATGGAATAGAGAAAAGCAGAGAAGGTTTCAAAAAAATTTTCTGGAGAGGGAAAGATAACCATCAATGTTACATATAGGTGATATTGAACTTGCAATTGTTTTAAGATTATGTTTAGGAATTTACAGAATGAAAATGTCCATGAACTCTAACAATTTAATAGTGGTAAATGTAAATGACTATTTCTTCAGAAAAGAAAAGAAAAAAGATGGATGGATGGATGGATGGAAGACTAGTTACGTGTGTGTTTGTATCCCACCTTTATTAAAAATAACTCAAGGTGGAAAACATCCTCTTATTTTCCCTAAACAACAACCTTGTGGGGTGGGTTGGGCTGAGAAAGACAGACTGGCTCAAAGTCACCAACCTTGTTTTCCTGACTGAGGCAGGACTTGAACTCATCGTCTCCTGCTTTCTAGTCTGGGGCCTTAACTACTAGACCAAACTGGCTCTAGGTTTTGCTGTTGCTCAGTCACTGTGTTGTATCCAGCTGTTCCCGATCCCATAGGCCACAGTATGCCAGGCTTCCCTGTCCTCCACTGTCTTCTGGAGTTTGTCCAAATTCATGTTCATTGTCTCAGTGACACTATCTAACCATCTCATCCTCCACCATCCTCTTCTCTTTTCACCTTCAATCTTTCCCAACATCAGGGTCTTTTCCAATGAGTCCTCTCTTCTTATTAGATGGCCAAAGTATTTGAACTTTGAGCTTCAAAATCTGTCCTTCCAAAGAACAATCAGGATTGATTTCCCTTAGGATTGACTGATTTGATCTCCTTGCAGTCCAAAGGACCCTCAATTGTCTTCTCCAGCACCATTTTGATACTGTCCATGAGGTTTTCTTGGCAAGGAAATTGGAGTGGATTGCCATTTCCTTCTCTAGTGGACCATGTTTTGTCTTTAAGCTTGTATTTAATCTAATTGCTTATTCCTAATGTAGCCATGTAAATTCTGTTGCATTCTCAGGCCATGGAAGAAAAATAAAATCAAACGGGGGGGGGGGGACAATTCAACTATATTATTTATAATGGATCCATTCTGTATACAAAGAATCATTTGATACTTGAAAACCTATTTCTACACTTCTTATCGGATCAAGCCAGCTAAACACTCATTCATTGTGTGTCTCTGTGTCTGTATGTGTAATAAATGCTAAAGAGGAAAACAAATAGACTAATGAGATGGGGGGAGAGGGAGTTATATTTTCCAATTTGCTATCTATGCCCAATCATATCATGTGTTCCCTCTTGTCCTTCACTGGATTATTGCTGCAGTGACAGGTGGGGAAGGCTAGATTTCGTATTCATCCCAAAACTTCTTTCAAATACTTTTATTTCAAGTAATATAAATATGGCATTTTTAATTTGTAAGCACTTCGTCATTTCCCCTGAAACACTTAAACAACAATTGATCTGACCATTGTATAATAATGATCTGTCCCGCGGAAATAATGAGATACAGGAATGGGAATCACTGGGCTTCAAATATGAAATGTACATACCGAGAAACAAATATGTACAAGGCGGAAACATTAGATTGTGTGGGAAGGGTATTTATTAACTTAAAGACAAGGTGACCTCTGGTTCGTGTCTGGAATCTTAAATCCTATCCAGCTGTAGACCTATAGAGTAATAGATGATGCCCTCTGTTGGTTAGAGTTGGATGTACTAATGGGATTAGACTTGATTTGAAGCCAGATTGGGGAACCGGTGATCCTCTAAATCAGGGGTAGGGAGCAATGGCCCTTTTATGACTTGTGGGCTTCAACTCCCAGAATTCCTGAGCCAGCCTGCTTGAATTGAAGTCTACAACTCATAAAAGGGCCATTGCTCCCCACCCCTGTTCTAAGTGTTTCTCATTGTTGAACTACATACCGTATTTTTCGGAGTATAAGACACACCTTAGTTTTTGGGGAGAAAAATTAGAAAAAAGCTGATTGGCAGGTGG